TACTCCTGATATTGACTTGGAATGCCACTTGAAGTCTTTACGTTTTCAAAAATAGGTGCAGCATAAATAGCAAAAGTTGATCCTTCTTTTGCTGCGTGTATAAATGCTTTTGCACCTATTAGTACGGATTTTACTATACTAGACTTATAATTTTTTACTTGGTTGGTAGAACTATTAATAACGCTTTGGGAAAAATCAAGTTTATGTAAATTCCAATCTATTCAAGGGTTATATTTTTCTAGCCAGGATAAATCTAAAATAACTGGATTGGATGGGGATTTAATTATGTTAAAAGCTATGTAGCTATCATGACCGTCTATTGTTACTTTTATATGATGAGTTTCATGAGTGACATCTCCAGAAGACAAGGGACGACCATCTATGACTTCTACATGTACTGGTTTAGGTTTCTGTACAAAGGGTATTTTACGACTTTTAACAAATTGTTCATCTAAAAAACATGCTGAGGCTCCCGAATCTAATAAAACAGAGGCTTTGTAATTCTTAGGTCCTAAATATAAGTCTATTATAAAAAAAAAAAAGGGTTTTGAGGAGAGGATAGGACCTTCATTAGGAATTGTACAAGGTTCCAGCTGCACGGTCCCTATTGTAGCTGGACGAATCCGTTTTCCGACATGTTGTCTTCTTTGACTGCCGTACCCCTCATTTTATAGTTGCATCGTTTCTTTGGACAATGTTGAGCAGTGTGCTTAGGTTCTCCGCAATATAAACATAATCCTTCTTGACGACGACGAATCTTTTCTTGCTCAGTTAGGGGTTTAAAACATACCACGTCAATTTGCATGTCTTCTACTTTCGAATGTACGTTTGGCAAAGATGTTGATGTTGCCATTGAGTAATAACGTTGAAGTTCCCGTGAATGATTTTCGGATCGAAATTCAAAAAGTCGATTATCACATTTTATCGCAAAATCGATTGCTTGACTCAAAGTTTGAGGATCAGGTAAGTTGAGCATCAATTTCTTTACTTCATATTGCAATCCATAAAAAAATTGACTGATGAGTGCAGCATCATCCCACTTGATGTCAATTGCAAGTTGTCAAAATTGTGAAGCATACACTGTTACTGAGTGATTTTCTTGTCGCAGAATTCGGATCTTATTTGTTGCAACACGAGTTGCATCGTGTTCACCATACATAGATCGAAACTCCGCCAAAAAAGCTTCCAAATTGTCCAATATTGGATTTCGTTGTTCAAGAAAAGACGAAAACCACGATAATGCAGAACCAGAAAGTAGAGTGCCAATAAACCTGACTTGTGATCCTGGAGTTGGATAGCTTTGCGGTTGAAGTTCAATTGCCAATTGTACTTGATTGATGAACCCTCGAAACTTTGATCTCGTACCATCAAATTTCTCGGGTAAGGCAATTCTTGGTTCTCTAGTGCTTACAGGGTGTTGTACAATTGGAGAAGGAACGTGATTTGTTGTAGATGTTGAAGCAGCTCCGATCATCTCTATATCCCCACTTTCTGCTATTCTTGTTCTTTTCTGTGTTGGTGAATTGAGTTGATGCATCGCAAGCATTAACTCCCTCATTTGCTCTTGCATTTGTGCCATTACATTCTTCATTTCAACAAGCTCTGCCATAATAACACTAAGAAAAAAAATTTGTTTGATACTGCTCAAGACAAAAGAAAAGAAAGACTTGATAACAAAGAAGATACTAAGAACAATATCAGTTTAGAAGTGGGTAATCCGCAAACTTCTAATACGCATATGTCTTATCAAGAGAAAGGGATAATCCACTCTTACTCAAGAAAAACAAAGCTTTGATATTGTAAGTGTACTCTTGTCAATCTGTCAAGGACAAAGACTCGATGAGGGAAAATATACACAAAAAGGCTATCTCGATATAATAAATCAAAATATAAACAAGTATGTATATTAAAAGGAAACTGGAATGGCTATTGCCACAAGACAAGAAACTAAAGACTCTTGAACCTAGAACTAGGAGCAAGAAAGGAGTTGACAAGAGTGAAGAAGCCTTCACTCTTGTCTCTATATATACTATCTAACTAGGGGCTACGTGGCAACGTTCTATAGGACCTCCAATATGTGTTGACTTTGTAGGACACATGCCTTGACTTACAAGGCATGTTTTTCTACGTGTGGGCCACATAGTTAGCTTGATCTTCAAGCTAACAACATGTGTGGCACATGGCCAACTTGTTGACCACGTTTCTAATCCAAAAAGTCAATTAAAGACATCTATGAAGTCAAAGCAGCGTCTAGGAAGTTTCTAGGAAGCTTCTATATTAAATATTATAGAATTAACTTACTTTTATCTACTTTTACTTACTTCTACCTATTTCTATATGTAATTATTAGCTTACATGATTATGGCCGTGACACATCATTATCTTCTCCATACTTCAAATTAGAATAGGTATTACTTAAATGTATAAAAGAAATTAAGATAATATTTTTACTTGATTAGAATATGTTAATAGTTGATAATTTTGGAAACTAAGAATAAGAGACTTCATTTGAATAAACTATTCTATGATTGCATTTGGATTTAGTATGTATTAAAATTGCAATAAAATAATGAGTTTTTTTTTGTTCCATAACAATAGTAGAATCTAACTAGTTTGCAAAATTCAATTTTAAAAATGTTTAGGGTTATTAATAATTTTTTTAATATGATCCATGATACAATTGTAAAATCTTTTGAATGACATGTATTTAAATTTGTTTTCAGCAATTTGGAGAGGCATTATTATTATTATTATTATTGTAATTTTATTAGAAAGAACATTATAGGGGCTTTAAAGATTGCCCACATTATTTATAACATTCATCTTACATTAAGCAATCATTTGCAAGATTTTGAGTACTTTGCCACACAAATACCGCCATCTACTTTTAGCTTGGGACAGCGTTCTAAGACATAAGCAAACAGTTGAGGCATTGACATCATGTTTATTCAAAGACGAAAGTAGAAACTGCATTCAAGAATGCATGGACGACAAAGAAGAAAAAGCCTTCTTCTCCAGCCAAGGCCAAGTTTTGAATGCAAACCACAAGCCTCTCTCCGCCAAAGAGACAATCTGCCGAGATTGTTAAAATAAAACAAAATAAAAAAATGTTAGAAGTATGGCAAAATGAGGCTCTAGGAGCGTGAGTGTTCTGATGACAGAAGAATAAAACACTCAAAAATTGAGACTAGAAGTGTGGACGTGAAAAGTTGCAAAGCCAATAATGTTGTCACTGAAGATTACAATGGAGACGACAGCTCGGTATAGATTTAAAAGAAACATGATGGCCTATGATGATCATTGATAATAGACAACTCTGAGTCCGAGGAATTTGCTGCAACGGCATCAAATACAAACTAGACAACACCTGGAAGCCATAACTTATCCACAGAGTTTTCTACATTCCAGAGCTACGCAAGAATCAGTTTTTAGTAGGCCAAGCAGCTGATAAAGGTTTTGTCACTCATATACTTGACGCACATGCTATTTCACAAGTAATAAGGGACGCGACAAAATTGTATTGACAAGTTTTTGTATCAAGAAGCTATACGAGTTGGAGCTAAAAGTCGATTGCCGAACTGCTTAAGCCAATATTGCCACAACACATAGCATAAATAAAAAGTTCGAAACACAAGAAGCGCCGACAAAAAACACTGACCCTATGGCATCAACGGTTCGGCCATGCACACAACGCCATGATTGTGCACATGCACACACACAATACCGTTTAGGGACTGGGGCTACAAAATCATGTGATATCTTAAAACCCTTGTGAAGGGTGTGCCGTAGGAAAGAATGCCAAGAAGCCTTTTTCAAACCAGCGATCGTCACCAAGGGCTGGGAAACCTAGATTTTCCTACATAACCACATTGCCTCCCGCACAAGGAATTATAATACTCTCCACGAGCTCTAGACTAGACAAATACCCACGCTGTCTCACTTGCAGATCTTTGGGTGCGTTGCATACGTCCATGTCTTAAAAGCCCACAAAAAAAGCTGGATCCCAATAGCGTGAAAACAATTTTTGTTGGTTATTGCACTAACACAAAAACATACTTCTTCTAGGATGCATAGTGACATAAAATGATCATGAGCCGCGACGTTATTGTTGATGAACTTTCAATCTTTGGAAAAGCCACCTCCAATGTGTTCTCAGGACTATTCTCATTTCAAGAGTTGGCCAGAAATTCTCTGAGCACGAGCACTGCCCAACCTACCCTAGCAAATTCAGCTCATAAGCAAATTACTAAGTTCTTCAAGGAATCAAAAACAATTGCGCCAGCAGACACTTGGTTCTTCAAGGAGCTAGAAAAAATTAAGCCCAGCAACGAGCAGCACACCTGCTTACCATCTTCTTCACCCATCCAAAGTCAGAACATCAACACATTTGAACGAATAATTCCACAGCCGCCACATTCAGAATTGCGCCCATCTTGCATCCGCAGCGCACCGTCTTACCTACAGGACTGCGTCGTTCCACATTCGTTTGCCAGTATTGAATGAAGTGAACACATCTCCAATGATCCAAGTACATATGAAGAAGCTCTGGCAAGCTCAAAAGCTACAGAATGGAAATAGGCGATGGAAGCCGAGTATGATTCCCTTCTTCAAAACGACACTCGGCGTCTAGTGTCACTCCCTTCTAGTTGCAAACCAATGATGTGCAAGTGGGTTTACAGAGTCAAGACTAACTTTGATGGATTCGTTGCAAAATTCAAGGTGCGCATTGTTGCGAAAGATTACACACAAAAGTATGGAGTGGATTATGACCAAACCGTTAGCCCTATTGTAAAATATGAATCCATCCAAACAGTACTTGCTATTGCCGCACAACAACACATGATAATTGTTCACCTTGACATTCAAACGGCTTTTCTCCATGGGTTTCTCGACACATAAATCTACATGCAATAGCCTCAAGGCTTCAAGGTTCCAAATCCACATACATCAACGTTTGTATGCCTCCTCAAGAGTTTATACGGACAAAAGCAATCAAGACATATCTGGAACCAAACTTTTTATGATTTTTTCATGAAATTTGATCTTGAATCCATTGAAGCCAACCCATGTGTGTATATCTCAAAATCCAAGCCTCCCCTCATCGTCACACTCTTTGTGGACGGTGGGCTTGCTATTTGCTCCTCACCAGCCCGGCTTGGGAATCTCGTCCATTATATGGAAGAACATTTTACCATTACCCGCTCTAGCGTTGATCTTTACGTGGATCTACACATCCTCCGCCTGAAAACTAAAGGCCACATCTTCATTTACCAAGCTGTTTAGCTTCGCCGCATTCTAGCCCGTTTTGGCTTTGGTGATTGCACCCCTCTCAGCGTCCCTGCCAACCTAAACATCAAGCTCAACAATAGTGGTGAAGTTTTCTAGCTACCTTTCTTCTACTCTGCTACTGTGGGATGCCTCCTCTACGCTCAAACACGAAGCTGCCAGAATATCAGTTATGCTAGGAGCATGATGGCTCAATTCTCAACGAACCCCGGCAACAACATTACCAAGCCGTAACGCAAATATTTCATTACCTCGTACACACTCCTTTAAAACCTGCACGCACCTTTGTGCATCGTTTATGTACTCTCATCCTTGATAAATGCAAAGTTCTCTTCCTGTAACGCAAATTTGTGAGCAAAGGTGGAAGCATCTGAGTCTTTTTTTATTGATTCTCAACAACGGCTGGCAGCGACCAGTGCCGTCTTTTATATTGAAAAGGGCTGGTTTCTAGAGCAACTAAATAGTAGCATCCACCTCTGCAGTATTCAATGATACAGGTCAGTTTTTGGTGGTGTTGCGCACCAAGCCTTCTGAGGTAGCCGTAGTCTTGGTCTTTCCTCCACTAGGCTTGATAGCCGCAATTTTTGTGATTTCACGACCTGTCACTAATGCATTGATTTCATACGTTCCCTCGTAGCTGTAAATTGGCTCCAAGTCGCAAAACGCCTTAAACACGAGCAAAACCAAATCACCTCATGTGTACAATGAGAAGAAAAATACTTAACTAATGTACAGTTTGCTAATATGTCACAGTCACTTGCAAACAAAGTTTTGAGCCAAGTCTACAGTTTTGAATCATTGCGCTTCTGGATTGTGTGAGATTTGGTAAGTTCTCACATCTCTGGAGGTAACTGACCTTAGCAACGAGGAAATCCGCAAGTATTCCATTGCCGCCTAGAAGCTCTCTCCCTAGCGCCACTGTCTCCCGAGCTCTCTTTGTATTCCAAGCCTGAAGAATCCATAGAACTCCATGTAAGAAACGAAAATTACTTGCAATGGAGGCCACCATCATCACCCTCTCCTATTCCGTAAAGAGACGGTGTAAATTCGATAGTTCTGAAACTTCCTAAGCATTCACAAGATAATCTACTAAGATGTAGTCTTGGTCGAACAGTATCTCCTGATCCTTCAGCCACTTAAAATCTGGGGAAAACTTTTACGCACACAGGACTAGAGCTCACCTTGCAAAGACTGGCTTGACCAGGGGTCATCTTTCCAGCTTCATAAATTTTGCATAAACGCCAGCCGAGTAGAAACATAGCTTGAATATTTCCTAGCATCCGCACTAATTTTTCTTGATTGATCTGAAGGGCAGCCAAAGGTGCTCCGAATTGCTTCCTCTCAAGTAGGTATCTGTTATCACCCAATATTCGGTAAATTCGACTAATGAGGAAACTTGAGCAAACCAAAATTCAGATCTTCATGGCTTTAAACCAAGAGGAGAAGAGCTGAACGATAAAGAATGGCATTTCTTGTTCACCGAAAAAACAAAAGAAATTTAGACTAAGTTGAACTGAACAAACCTATGGCAAATGTCATATACGCCCATGGCTATGCCAATTGGTTGCCATGCGACCATAATCCGAGATACGGCCAACACCTACAAGAAGCAACCAATCACATCCTTGGTTGTCCATCGATCACAATTATCTTCCACACAACTCAATGCAAAAGCAGAAGGTTATAACTTGACTAGTCTATTCTCACAACTTGCAATTCCCAAACTGAGTAGCTAAAAGGTTAGGTGCGAATCTTCATATGGCCTCGTATAAATAACTGACGATACAGTAACCCATAATAATTAATAAATTATAACACTAGATTGAAAATTGTGTAATGTAGATGCTAGACGGTAATCAAAAAAACATTATCCTTGAAAAACCCGAAACTCATTGAATGGTTACAAGGAAATAAATCAACACTCGTTTCTAGCTGCAAACCAAATGAGAATTAACGAGTAAAAATGTATGCCAATCCAATGAACAAAATAATGTAAAATGTTAGATTGAAAGGACAAAAATACCTTAATATTTAGTTAACAATCACGATCATCATCACACATTTAAACTTGACATCAACATAAGAATGAAATACCTTGTTGGTATCTGCAAACGAGTTAATTCCAGGAAGCCGATCTTTGTCAGGCACAAATGCGTTTTCCATGACAATGTCACCATTTTGTACCATCCTTAACCCAATCTTATTCTCAATCTTCGTAGCTCTGTAGCCAGGTGTACCTTTCTTCACAATAAACCTACAAAGCACATATTGTAGCAAACGTCAATTGCTATAAAAAGCACATAGCTTCACTTGATTAGGTGGACACAATAAGAAAAAGCTTACTTGTTACTATCATAAAAAAAATCCAAAAACATCATATATACATAATAATAATAAATCCGAAGCAAACTACTGAATTTTTGAAGGTAGTATACCCATTTATTTGGTTCGTTTGTGTGTTCCGGGCAAACAAAACAGCTACATCTGCAAAAGTTGCATTACCGATCCATCGTTTCTGCCCATTCAAAAGCCATCCTCCCTCTACCTGCTCCCAAAACAACGAACACACTCAAATCAACAAGCCCTTAAAATAACAACAATCACTCTGACATAGAAAGAGAGTAGAGGAAACCATGGTCGCAAATAAATTATCTGATAAAAAACTTCCAGAGTGTAAGACAATGACGCTTGAAAACTCTTTGAAGTGACATTCAATCTGGAAATATTCAGAATCTATGCAGCAGGTGTATGTCCACAAAACACGTGCTCTTCCACAAGATATTGGAAGCAAAACATGAATCTAAACAATAACATTCCCCTCAGCTAACGGACGTGTTTAAAACTACATGCTATCATCGACTGTTTGATGGAAACCATCAATTGACACATTACCTTCTTGGCAGTAGTATTTAGTGAGCTCGCATCACTTCCATATCCAGGCTCTGTTAATGCCTGCACATGAACCCAGCCATTAATAATCTACCACGGAATATAATAAGATATGATGTCATTCATCAAACACGGACTATAGTAAGATATGATGCTTCTCATTTATATTAATCAATACATGTTAGCATAATCCGCAGGTCCGTATGAGAAGCGAAAAAATTCAGAAGAACCAGACATATAACTTCTAAAAAGCATAATGGGTCCTAATGAGTTGTATCAGCTTGTACGAAAACAATCAAGGTCATACCCAGCACCCAATGAGGTCAAGGCGAGCAAGGCCGGGCAAGTATTTGAGTTTCTGTTCCTCGCTTCCCAACATAGCTGCACAGCCATAACTTCAGAGTCAATGATAATCTCAGTCACAGTCAGGTCGTCAAACTTTATGTACTGAATTCATCGTCCTTCCCTACTTTAATACTTACGCTACGTTCATTTGGGTATACCAAACCACGTTTTAACATAAGTACATGCGCCATATGTTATGATCATCCTGAGTTCTCCTGTTAGTAAACTGGAAGATAGCAGGCGTGAGGCCTTAGAAATGTAACGAAGACAACGCAAGACATGCTGTTTTACCAAGAGTAGCCATGCACAAGCTGGAATGCACAAGCACAAAAGTAGAGCAGCTTGCATCCACTCGTGCTATTTCCGACATCGCCAAAGCACTGCTTAAAACAGACAGCCCAGGACAACCGTACCCCTGCCGTAAGCAAAAAACCATTCTGTCAGTGGTACTGATTGGCAGAAATTTCCAAATCCACCACAAATCTCACTAGACTTCATTATCATCAGATAAGCACATCAATTGAAAAGCTGTAAATAAATGAAGTAAGCCATGTGAAAGGAACTTGGACTTTTGACCTCAAATTCGGCCATGGTGTAACCTCCAACTATATCTTCCAGCTTAAAGGACTCATGCTGGGCATGTAAAATAAAGAAGACTAACCTTAGTCGTGCCGCCGGCGACCATGAGGCTGGAAATATGAGGCACACATTCGAACGGAAACTCTGCCTTCTCCCAATACTGCCGGAATACGTACAAACCATCAATATTAATTATGTCATTGACGATTAATTTCCGCACAGAAAGCGCAGATATCCTATGATAATCCATGAACAAGACTGAAGCGTACAACAGACCATGAGCTCCAGTAAAATACGATGGATGAAATCAATACAATGACTGTTAAAAACCTTGGTCATGACGGGTGCAACATGTTTCTCCATAGTCTCTCGGATGCGCTTACGAAGTGCAACATCTTCAGATGACAACAAGTCATCAAGCTGAAAATAGTCTGATACTGTTCTCCATATATGATCAGATTCAGCGGTAAGTACACTCCAAACATGTCATGTATCCTTATCAAAAAGAGGAGGTCGAAGAAGCAGACAAGCACATACTATGATTAACTCTTCGAAATAAAAAGAGGAAAAGAAAGAAAACAAGTTTTCAGTTCATACACACCTGACTCTGGGAATATTGATGCTGGAGTGGCCTGTGGGAATGCAGACCTTATATCCAATGGAGGAAGGCCAATAGCAAGAGTTGGTATGCGTTCCAACGCAGCTGTTACATAGCTCCACGTTTCGCATGCAAATTCGACCCATCGTCTTATCAACGATCATATATCTCAATAGAATCAGCACATTCAATAATAGAAAAGAAAGCATAATGCAAGATTTGCAAATTATCCACTTCTGATGTGCTGTTCATAAATTTCAAAAAACAAGTCCTCAGTCTGAATGAATTACGCACAAGATGAATAAGCGTCTGTGGGCTTCAGGTGTTCGTGAATACGCGTCAGCCTGCGTTGGCACTTTTCTTCCGTACCCTCTCTTACCACCGACAGCTCCATAATCATAGCCTTAGCCAGGTATTATCCAGCCAGCTTCGATACAATATGCAACCAGCAACACCTCTAGAATTCCCTCGAAGACTGAACATCAAACGATTCGTAACTAATTAAATCAAACTTCAAAATTTTGTCGGGTAACTGTTGCAGGCGATCAAAACATTTAACATACATGTCAAGACAGACCGCAAGAATTACCATCTCTGAAGGTTTACTAAAAAATATTACATTTCGGTGTGCAGCTCACAAACAACATGGAGCGAACAGAAGGTAAAGATAGACCGGAAAACCGCAGCTCTTCGGAATCCGGATGAATGAGCTAGAGATGTACTGTTATCAGTTTCAGTGTAGGTACAAGGCTTTCCTCATATCTCCTGGAAACTTCAAGAAACATACATTCCGTCTCTTTCGAAAACTTGTATACAACGATGTCTAATCAAATTCATGATGCGTATAAAATCTTGATGCTACTTGGCATGACAATAAGACGCATCCAGTGGGAATACAGCTACTTCGCCACCTAACCGTAGTCCATAACCTAAGAATGGTCGTCACGCCAAACCCTTCTATGGGTTCAATTCTGAACAAGCTCTCCATCAGTTCAGGTGAAGTCACTGTCATCTTCGAACATCACGCATGAGGAGGAAGTTGAAACTGAAGCCAGGCAAAGGGCTAGGAGAGAAACTATAATTGTCAACTTTACAAGTTAGAATTTCCAACATATCCTGACTAAAAGTTAGACGCATACAGTGAAAAATTCCCATGCATGAAAAATAAATAATGTTGCAAGAGGTAACCGAGACGCGTAAAAAAATCGAACACGAACGATCCATCACAGTGGTTCACGAAAAGAACGCAAGCAATATCATGCAGCTGCTAGAGAAAACTAAAACCTCTCCGCTCGATTCATAACAAAGAAATTGATCGCGTCAAGACCAAACCCAGCGTTCAAAGATTTCGTTGTTGATCAAAATTCTGGCACCCATCAGCAAGAGCAAAGCAATACGACACCGGCACATCAAAACAATGGGAACTAAAATTGGGCACCAAAGCAGCCACGAACCTTGCTCAGCCGAGCATAGGCAGCGCAATCGAAACCCACGTTGAAGAAAGACCCACCTCACGATTGCAGAATTGAAAATGACCCAAAGTGTCGCCGAGGGTCCAAATTCTATACACCGAAGAGAGGACGCAATCGAGAAATCCTTGACACGAAATTGGAAATTCCGACGGTGCAAAGGGGTGAGCAAGCGGTCTCGACCCCACCACCGCCTACGGAGGGTCCCTTACTGCTACCTCACTTTAGTGGGCTTCCACGTCATCTGGCCAGAATGGACCACTTTTACCAACCAGGATGCGTCTCTCTACCTAGGCAAGCGGGTACCGCCTCTATTCAGGGTATCAATCCTCTGGCTGGAATCGGAGAATTAGAACAAGTTCTCAATTTTTTGGAAACTGTTAAGAGCATTAAATGTAGCTGGCGCTCTCTATAATATGTACTGTAGACTGCAGTAAATATCATAGCTACGATATTTAGAGTTTAGTGGAGAAGTACTATTTATCCTCTCCCCTTTCTCTTCTTGTATACGAGATACAACCAGATCAATAGATTTAATTTGTGAAGCTCTCTCTTTTTAGAAACCTTTTTGTGTGTATGACTTACTACTACTCTTGTGTGTGTGTGTATTACTTACTATTACTCTTGTGTCTTTCTAAACATTCTCAACATGTTATCAGCACGACTCTCTTCTACACACCATCACAATTTTTTTGCTCTACTCTTGACTCTTCAAACTTATTGCTACTCTTGCTCAATGTTTGCCTCATGATCTTACTGCTCTTCTTGTTCGCCCCTCACACATTAGTTGCTTGCTTAGAGCACTTGTTCCACTCTCTACCCTGCTTGCTTAGAATACTTCTTTAGAATACTTGCTTAGAATACTTACTTAGAATACTTGCTTAGAATACTTACTTAGAATACTTGCTTAGAATACTTGATCCAACCTAACTCCACCTCAGCTTGCTCTCTGCTGTGCCCCGCACCTACTGCCGAGCTACCATCAAACTGCCATTGAACTCGTCGCTATCAATGTTGCCGCTGCCACCCTGCCGCTACTAAAGCTGCTGTCCACCTTGCCGCCAGTGCCGCTATTGCCTGCCGTTGCCACCCTATTGCCTGTCATCATGTCTTTTTACATGCCGTCGCCTGCTACTGTCGTTCTACTATTATTCTGCTGCCTTAATCCACAACCTTCTTTTACTATATATATATATATATATATATATATATATATATATATTAAGTTCAAGTTTATCATTTTATTTGACTTTATATTTTAAGGTACCGTTTACTCAATTTTTTTACTTGATCTTTTATTTTCATTACAGATTTATTTATAATGAGTGCTTCAACATCTTCAACTGCTTCTACTATGGTTCCAACTATTATCAGTGCATCCCAACATTTTTAAGCTCTTTTATTTCTACCATTGACTGTAGATGGAAACAATTATCTATTATAGGCAAAAATGGCAAAAGCAAATTTATTTGCAAAACAATTCTTGGATGCCATTATGTTTGAAGAATCTCCTACAATAAGTATTTCTATTTCTCTTACTATTCGTTGGAAAGTATTTCTTCTCCTTCGTCGTCATCTTGTACCTACATTATAACATCACTACTTGGAAATGGAAGATCTTGCAGAACTTTGGAAGAATCTTAAATCCAGGTTTGATCATCAAAAGACTATTTTCCTTCTACATGCACATCATAATTGGACACATTTAAGTGTCTTAGATTTTCCAAATTTAAATGCTTTCAATAGTAAAATGTATAGTATTGTCTCACAATTATGATTATGTGGATAAAGCATCTATGAAGAAGAAATGATTGAGAAAACTCTCTCTACATTTCCTCATGTATCTGCTGTGCTTGCAAAACAATACAGGAATATGAAATTTCAGAGTTATTCTGATCTCATGTCCTATCTACTTCTTGTGGAGAAGCAAAATGAGCTACTCTTACGCAATGCAGAAGCTCGTCCTATTGGAACTACAATTCCAGAATTTCATGCACTTAATATTTCAAAGTCTAAGAAAAAATTATATAAACATGGGAAACGTGCTCATAAGTATCAGAGTAGTCTTTGTCATGATCATTTCTACCCATATGGAAAGAATAAATATTCTACTATTAATTATAGTAGAAAACAAAAATTAGAGATGCATCCTTGCCATAAGTGTGGAATGATTGGAAATTTAACACATGCATGCCATATTTTAGAATATTTTATTAAAATATTCCAAAAAAATAAAAAAAACTACGAGCTGAGGCTCATGAAGTTCATACCATAGATGCGTTGATGGATTCAATTGATGTTGATGACTTAGATGCTTATATGAATGACAAAACCTCTAATGATGAATCAAATGATGCACTCATTGATTTTGCAATAATACATATTATCTTGCAAGATAGACAATTTTTTATTGAAAAATCTTCAACTTGGCAAACTAAAAATATGATGACCATGGTTGGAACAAATGCATTTTGTTTCTAAGAGGGCACAAAGATAGTAAAATTATCTACATGTTCCATCATAAAATGTAAACATGTGATGTTTGCACCCTTAGCACCTCAGAGTCTGATCAGCTACCGAGATGTGTGTATTAATGGTTATCACATTTCGACTGCCATTTTAAATTAAAAAAAAAAAAGAGGTTTTGGTTCTTGCAAAGAACCATAAAGTTGTTCAAAAAGCTTTTGCTACAAAAAATGGTTTATATCGAATTGTAATTCGGCCTCCCATTATATTTAATTTTGCATCATCTATCACATAGAGTCGCGTTTCTCTCAGGCATTGACGATTGGGACATCCAAGATCCACATTATTTAAAAAGATCATTCCATGTATAACTGGGCACAATTTAAAGCCTGTGGATATAGACTCTATGGAATTATGTCGTGCATGCGTGTAAGGTAAAATAATTACTGGGCCTTCAATTTGGAAACTCCCACAAGAATTACCACCAATACTTGAAAGATTGCATGGTGATATTTGTGGTTCTATTAATCCAATATCGAGACCATTTTTTTATTTTTTGATCCTTCTTGATGCATCAGGTAAACAATCACATGTTTCATTATTATTAACTTGAAACATGGTATTTACCAATCTTATATCTATGCTTATTTGTTTTTGGGCATATTTTCTTGATTATCTTATAAAAACATTGCGTATGGATAATGCAAAAGAATTCGCATCAAAGTCTTTTGAAGATTATTGTACTGCAACAAGAATTGAGTTGACATATTGTGTTCTATATGAACATGCTCAAAATGGACTTGCAGAGTCATTTATAAAGAATATACAATTCATTACCCAACCACTCCTTTTTCACGCAAATTTACTTGCATCTATGTGGGGTCATGCAATTTTACATGTTGTAGCTTTAATATGCATCCGCCTTTCTTCTCTTGAAATTGTTTCACCACATGAGCTCATTTTGGATCATGTTCCAAATGTATCTCACTTATGAGCATTTGGTTGTCGTGCTTGGATTCTAATACCACAACCTCAATGGCATACCATTGGAGCTCATTGACAAGAAGGCATATATGTTAGTTTTGATTCACCAAGCATTATTCATATTGTTGATCCATCAACTGGCACATTATTACGTGCACGTTTGTAAAATTGCTATTTTGAAGAAAATATATTCCCATCTCTTCAAGGAGAAGTATCCAATCAACAAAGAAATAAAGTACTCATATTTGAAGCACTAGAAACGTTTACAATGAATCCCGATCCTAGGACATCTTTGGCAGAAATTGAAGTTGCTAAGATTTTATATCTAAAATGGATCGCAGATGAAACATATGATGGCTTCAATGATGCACCTAGAATTATAAGAGTTCCTATTAACGAGGCTCAGAATGCACCTGCTCAGATTATAATGCCATTGATTACAATACCTCAAGTTATAACAACAACAACTAAAAGAACTCAAGGACTAGATAAGTAATCACATAAGAAAAAAGCTATAAAATTGACTAATCCTGGTATTATTTTTAAAGGAATTTCCACTCATTTTGCGGGACTACTAATTCATGATGATATATCTATGCATGATGTACCTTCAATTCCTATGAAAAACAATCTTAGAATTAGAAGGAATAAGAACAAGTTGAGTAAAGAATTATCTATTATGTATTGTGCTACAGATGGTATTTGGGATAGACCATCTATTATAGTAGATGAATCATTTGCATATATAATTATAGAAGCCCTTTCTTGCAAGGAAGACGATCTTGAACCTCAAACCATCGAGGAGGTGATGCGTTGCTCCGATTGGTCAAAATGAAAAACTGCTATTGAGGAGGACTATGCCTCTTTGTATAAGAGGAAAGTCTTTGGTCCAATTGTAGACACTCTTACATCTCGCCCTGTGGGATATAAGATGGTATTAATACACAAGCAAGATATTCAAGGTCAAATAGCCCGCTATAAAGCTTGTCTTGTTTCTCAAGGATTTATTCAAGGATTTGGCATTGTTTATGAATCCACATATTCTCTAGTCATGGATTCAATTACATTTCGATATATTATTGGAATGAAAATTCATGCCACCCTTGAGATGCATCTGATGGATATAGTAATTACATATCTATATGGTTCTCTTAATGCAAATATTTATATGAAAGTTCCACCTGGCTTAGAAACAAGAACTCCAAATGGACCCGCTCCAGGACAATATCATGGTATTAAATTATGTAAGGCCTTGTAGGATTTAAAATAATCCGGATGCATGTAGTATCAAAATCTTCAAGATTACTTAATTATTAATAAGTTTGTAAGTGATCTACTAATCCCTTCTTTGTTTATCAAACAAGATAAAATTGGTTTTGTGATCATTGCTGTATATGTTGATAATCTTAACCTAGTGGGCACTACATCTGCATGTGTTATAGCTACTAACCTACTTATACAAGAATTTGAGATGAAAATGCTAGAAAAAATAACTTTTTACATTAGTTTTTAGATTATGCATCTAACAGATGGTAGCATTTTTTTCTACCAACTAACGTATATAAGATGAATCTTGTGAAGTTTTAATATGATTGATGCTTATCTATTGTCCATACTAATGGTTGGATGTGGTCGTGATGGTCATGATCTATACTATCCATGTGAGGAAGAGGAGGAAATATTGGGAGATCAATATCCATATCTCGTAGCGGTTGGAGCACTTTTGTATTTAGCTACATTTACAAGACGAGATATTGCATTTGCAGTTAGTGTTCTTGCAAGACATAGTACATGTCCAATACTACAACATTGGAATGACATCAAATATTTATTACATTATTTAAAAGATATTGAAGACTTGGAATTATACTACACACAATCTGTAGATCCAAAATTGGTTGGATATTGTGATGCAGGATATAAATCTGATATTGCAACATCTAAATTTCAAACAAGATATGTATTTTTAAGATATAGAGCTACAATATCATGGAAATCAGTGAAACAAACAATAACTGCAACTTTATCCAACAATACAAAAATTATTGCCTTATATGAAGCATCTCGAGAATGTATTTGGTTGCGATTAATTGATAAATTCATTCAAACAACCTAAGGATTTTCACATGATGATTCTCCAACTATCTTGCATGAAGATAATAGTGCTTGTATTGTACAGATGCAAGTTGGTTTCATTAAAGGCAATAGGACAAAGCATATTGATCCAAAGTATTTTAGTTATATCCATGACTTAATTACTGGTCAATCACTTATAATTAAGAAAATTGAATCTACAAATAATCTTGCTGATCTTTTCACCAAAGCTCTTCCATTATACAACCATCGTTGACTTACTTATGGCATTGGTATGCGGGGACTTGCTTTTTTTGAATAAAAAAGTTAACGAGCTCTTTAAATAATTAAAGAAAATGATATTGTACTCTTTTTCTTTCATCTATGGTTTTGTCCTTAAATACAATAAGGTTTTCCTAGATAAGATTTTAATGAGGTAACAATTGTTGATCTTACAAGATCACAAAAAAGTATAGATCATAATTCTATATAAATTTTATATTATATAAATATTATGATGAGCGAGGAGGAGTGTTGAGAGCATTAAATATAGCCGGCACTCTCCATAATATTTATTGTAGACTACAGTAAATACCAAAGCTACAGTATTTAGAATCTAGTAGAAAAGTATTGTTTATCCTCTCTCCTTTCTCTTCTTGTATATGAGACACAACCAGATCAATAGAATTTAATGTGTGAAGCTCTCTCTTCTTAGAAACCCTCTTGTGTGTATAACTTACTATTATTCTTGTATGTGTGTATTACTTATTATTACTCTTGTGTCTTGCTAAACATTCTCAACAAAAACCATGCAGTTGGATATGAATAAGGTGGCTAATGTTTGTTAGTTTATCCATTCGTAGGGAGCTTCCAAGCTACATGCCTAGTGATCTTGTTGTGATACTCTCAACAATCTGCACCAATAATATGCAAATTTTGATCTCTGATTGATCAAAAGTTGAATCATTGCTTCAGTTTTGATGAAAATAATGAGACATGCAACCAATTAGAGATGGTTTTTATTTTCTCTAGTTTATTGTGTTGGTTTACCTTCCTCAAGTTGTTTTATATAAGAGATATGGATCAATCAACAACTAAGACTTGATGGATCTTATTTTACAAATACATATTGTATGTTAAGTAGAGTTTTTACTTAGGTAAGCATGGTTGCAAAAATAAATAAATAAAAATTACATGCTATAATTTTAGCAATACAAAAAGGTTGTACAAAAAAAATAGTTAACATAATTTTGTAATTCATGCTTGAGTGTGGCAAAATGGTTGGAATTGGATTTCTTTTTGACATTAGCAATGCTTCTAAGAAATAGAAGGAAGTTCTAAATAGATTTAAAAGATTTGGCTAGTTTTGAAAGTATTTGGAAAAAGACAAGAAATACAAGTGGTATAAAAATAGATACCTTATAATGGGAGACTACATATTACTTTTCTTATATTACAATATAAATATCTTACTTTGCTTGTAGAATATTTACCTACATTTGCTTCTTTAATTATGATTATATATAAAATCCATTTAAATTATTTTTAATTATATATAAAATAATATTTTTATTTTATTTAAATTAGCAAGTAAACAACAAAATTATATTTAAAACTTGAAATTAAAAACAAATAATTAAGATAGAGTAGTACATATCAAAAATGTAACGATTCATGATTTTATTAATACTTGATTGTAAATTTTGGAAATGATCTATTAAAGAAAATTTTAATTTTATGCTTATTAAGAATTATTAAAATTTGAAAATATCTTAAACTTAAAATTTGAAATTAATAAAAAATTAAATATTATTAGCAATTTTCTTATTTAATCTAATAATAGTCTAAAGTATTGAGATAAAAACACATAATTATATATAAAATTAGTGCACATGTGAAATGCACACACATACATACAAATATATATTATTTACTATATCATATATAGTATATAAATCTTAAATCTTATATTATAAGTATTTTATCAGTTAAATTTAAAAATTTAAACCTTAATAGTAAGATAAAACTTTAAATTATTATTCTAAGGTTTCAAAAACAAATAAGAATAAATTAAAATATAAAAACGTTAAATCAATCCTAGTTAATTCTAACTTGAGTCAAATCTTAAATCTAAGATAATTCAAAAGATGAATTCAAATCCTTAATCTTGAATTTAAAATAAATTTTTAGATTAGAAAACTTAATTTTAAGATTGATTTCTAAACCTAAATGTGACTTTAAACCTAAATCTAAAGTGAAAGTCCAATTCAATAAAACCTCTTAATATAGCTTTAAGTTTTTTGTCTATTCCTAAAAATTATTACAGGATTTTTATCATGCAAATAGTAAGTTAATGAAAAACAAAGTATGTTTTTGATAACCAGAAAGGACACACAATACAACGAAATAAACTTTATTTTCCTAAAATAAATTTAGAATAAATAAGTGATTTTTAAAAACTTTTTTCTGTTTTATAACCACAATTAGAATGACATGAAAACACTGCATTATGAAATATTAGTTTGCCAAATATTTAGTGGATTTAATGAGTTTATTTTCAGCAAACTATTTAAGAAGCAATTATTTTTATAATATGGTTTATTAGATAGTTATAAAAGTAGATATGTGTGTGTATACTTATATTTGAGAATCGTATTATGTGCAATTCAAAATTCAAAATTCTTATAACATTACGAAACTGTACCTATAGTATTAAGATAGAATAGAAATAAATTCTAACGTTAGTAAGAAAATTAAGGATTTCTTTGAATGTTTTAATTTACTTTTTGTGCTTGCATACAATTATTAAAGCCCGAAAAATGAAGAATAGTTGAAAATTTACAAAGACTTCGTACAACATTTCAAACTTGATGTGTAGGATATTGGAGTGATGTACAAAAGTGTTCTACTGTATTAGATTTTAAAAGATAACAACTTTATTTTAAAAAGCTCTCAAGAGTCCATCTTCATATGAATGATTCATGTCTGGATTTTCAAAATAAATCTTAACTAAAAAAACCTTACTTTCAAAGTAAACAACTTTATTCAACACAACTTCAGACTGTCTCGAATTGGAATTTCAATACAAACGCTACTAATTCAACTGAAGTAGTATCAGAACAAAGTATATTTACTTATTATTATCAGATTCGAAAGCTACTATAAATACCAATTTCACACTTGAGTCAAGTTCAAAGACTCCAATATAAAAATGCTACCAAAACAAGCAGATTTTGAAAACTAATGTTCACTAATATTACAAATACCAATGGGCAAAGAATAATATCGCCAAGAAAATATATAGAAAGCTTGATCTCCGTCCTTCATCCCGAAACCCTAAAAGTGGGGTGAATTGCAGTTAATCGAGGTCGAGCATGCAGCGATGGCGTAATCACTTGAGAAATTTTGCAGGCTTGGTGCTCAGCATCACCACGCTAATGGTTAACAACGCCGGGTGCGAAATGTTCCAGCTCACATAACCACCCGGAGCTCACATCTGTCAGCTCTGGTCGAGTTGGATCCATCGAATATCCGCTGAAGTTCGTGTCCCGTGGCTTGCGACCTGCGGTGTCTGAGCATTATGATTCCAAGTCTGTGCCAAGTTTGCTAGGGTTTTTTGTTTTGTTTTGTTTTGTTTTGGAGGGTTTGGTTTGCGAACGAAGATGGAGATTGCAGGCATGGATTTGTCGTGCGTGATTCACTCTATTCAGAGCCATGAGCTCCCGGCGAAGGATTGTGTCCTGCCTTTGCTGTCGAAGGTGCTCGGGTACGCCATCGTCCTGGCCTCCGTCTTCCTGAAGCTGCCCCAAATTTACGTGATCGTGAAGAACAAGAGCATTAAGGGTTTGAGCGTCCCCTCCTTCGAGCTTGAAGTGGCAGGGTTCACTATTGCCCTCGCGTACTGCTTGTTCAAGCAGCTGCCGTTTTCAGCTTACGGCGAGCTCGTGTTTATTCTGGCGCAGAGCATCGCGTGTCTGGCGCTGATCTATTACTACTCTCCCAATACCGGTCCCTCCGTTTGGTTGAAGACGGCGCTGTACTGCGCTTTGGCGCCCACTCTTCTTGGCGGCATGCTCGACGCAAAGCTGTTCGAAGCGCTGTACGCGTGCCAGCATGCTATCTTTTTCTGTGCACGCCTGCCGCAGATTTACGAGAATTTCAAGAGCAAGAGCACAGGGCAGCTGAGCTTCATGACGAGCTTCATGTCCTTCGCAGGCTGTGTAGTGAGAACTTTCACGAGCATCCAGGAGAATGCTCCGTTCAGTATGCTGGTCGGGTGCTTGCTTGGGCTTTTCACGCACGGCACTGTGTGTGCGCAAATTTTTGCGTATGCTTCGTCTTCAGCAGAGGCTGTGAAGGCAGAGAAAAAGACCAAGTAGGTGGAGAGGGTTGCTAGTAGGGTTTCGTTTTCCTCTTCAGACAATTTGACCACGCATCCTGCCTTTTTAGCCAAATTTAATTTGCGGTTGCATGTAAATCTGTTTCTGTATATTATTGGCTAGATTGAACTGCCCATACTGCAGAGGGAAGGTTAGATTAGTTTTGATTGATTGGTTTGTTCAGAGTTTAGGGTTATACTAAACTAGTGATACAAGCGTCGTTCAGCACTGGGCGTATGTTGCAGTGGCTGTTTATGGGTGTCTGGAGCTTAAGGTGAAGGTGGACACAAATTGATTTTGTAGGGGACAGTCGTCTCATTCTTGCGACATGACTGCGTTGTTGTGGACATAACTGCGTTGTAGACATGACGCTTGGAAATTATATGTAAGCACCGGCCCAATTCAGTCCTGAGGTGAAATATTGTCGTATAATTCTGCTGTCCAGTTTGCCTAGACCGTGTTCGCCACGTGATCAGCTACTAGTGGATCATTTCCTCTGCAGTTCTTTCGACTTCGTCAACACCTCCTAGGTTGGAAGTTTTGAAATGCTATTGCGAAAATGACTTGGGCTGTTAACAATAGACAGCTGCGAGTATTTCATGGCAGATTGTTTTGCAGAGCAGCACGGGGGATGAGAATTTCCGGCGCAATTGTGTTGAGAACATGAGCAATTGGAGCTAGCGAGAATGCCAATTTTCAAGTTTTGCTGGATGCCCCATGAAAGACTTAACGCCAATACCTGCATGAATGACAGTCTTAGGTCAATTTTTTTCTATTCCATTCGTCTTGTACCTTCTGGAATTTAGAAATCGTGCAGAGCCTGAAAATGGCAACTACAGTCATTGAGTATCACGGGCAGTAAACACGACACCTTATTGAACATTCTGGAGTACAGATTCCGACACTAGAATTGTTTTGGATAGTCATTGGCAAGTGCTCACACTCCGCACGATCGGTTTTCCATCTGACGATAATCCCATGACCCAACTCCCTGCGTGCCCTGCTTGTGCGATTGCGATTACATGACCTCCTCAGACTGGATGGAAGACAAATGACGAGGGCTTTTGACGAAAAAGTTGACTTTCTCAACTCTGGTCATATAATTAGTGCTTCGAAGTTTGCAGTCCAGTAATCGTTTATATGGTCAACACCTATAAATTGGATAACTCAGCTAAAACTTGGACACTTCAGGTTTTCAGCGTGACGAATCACAAGCACAACGGATGTGAGGCTCATGTTTGATGCAGCAAAAACTTGGAACATTGCACAGTGAGAACATCTTAATTATTCACGAGCCACGGTTTTTGATCAATAAACACATTTCCGACTACTTAAAGCCCACTTATCTCCGTTCATTGGCGATTTCACATGTGTCTACATATACACAACAAATGCATTCACAAAGAATATAACAAATGTATTCATAATATATCTATCAAGCAATATGTATAAAATTTGACAGAGTTTAGAGTACACACTACATTCACCTAAATTGGATATATTACACACTGCAGCAACCATCAACATGGTTGATCAAAACCACAAAGTTACAATAATCTTTTATCTAAATTTTGTTCTAAACTAGCTACATATTTGACATGCCTATACAACATCTCTTCATTCTTGGAAATTGAGAAGTGAGTGCCTTTGCTATAATAAAGTGATGAATCAAAGAACAATGTCATAAATATGTATAGATTTAAAAAAAGAAAAGAAAAAAGATAGAATAAAAAAAGAAAGAGTCTTTAAATTTCTTTACTTGATACAATGGCTTGGAAAATTTCAAGTTTAATGGCATAATGATTTAACAAAATATTTTGGAGTATCATTCTTTCTCAAATTGGCAGCCATAAGATGAGCCTCCAATCAAAATGGCTTGGAAAATTTCAAATTTAATGCCATAATGATCCATCAAAATACTTTGGAGTATCATTCTTTCTTGAATTGACGGCCATAAGGTGAGCCTCCAATCAAACTTTGCTGCCAAACTTTCTATTATAATCCTTTTTTTTATTTTTTTATTTTTTTATCAATATTGACAAAAAAATTACAAAATAGTAGTATAAAAAAAAACAAAATGTAAGACCAATAAATTCACCATATTACAATATCAAATAAAGACAAAGTTCAATGTTGCTAAAACTTTTTCATGAAGTCAATTGAAATTAGTTGTATCATTTTTTTTAAACTTACCTTACAACTAGCTGTGTAGTATCTATGGTTCTTTGATCGTTATAAGATCCTTATGAACTACAATTTCAAAAATCAATACTTATTAGTAATATATATTTGATTTGATATTGATGAAAGTTAATGATTCAATAAGTATGTTGAAGAGATTGCTTAAGAAATTCAATACTTTGTAAATCATATATGCATTACTGAAATTTTCTATCAATTATATATTCTTTGCTATTCTTAGATATCCTCATTAATCCCACATTTCTAATTTCCAAGCCATCTTTTACAATTGGCCTTCTTAAAGAAACAAACTATGTTAGAAATCAAGTCATGTTGTAGTTAATACATTGCCAAATCAGCCACTAATCTAAGATACCAATCTAATACTACTTGATCCTAGTCATTATTTGAAAAGAGTGAAGTGATATAAAGTGTACTTAAAGGCTTTTTGAAAACATAGTATTTGATGTATATTAGCAATTTAGTTGCTTATAGTGGAGAAATACCTTGAATTGTCTTACCAACATAAATGCTTCTTGGAGACAAGTTGCTCTTGTAGTCATTGAATGATACTAAAAGTCTAATTATAGTATTTTTTTTGTATAACAAAGAGCTTCAAGAGTCTCTTAAAAGTGTTTAAGGAGCTTCAACATCATGGAAATTAACAAAAATAATAGTGATGATTTTGTTGGTAATAGATTTTACAAATTAAAGCACATGCAAATAAATGTAGCATTTTGTATACATGTGGCAATTACTATCACTATAGAAATCAATGATCCTCTAAATTAGGTTGTATTGCAAAAGCTTTAGAAGTTAGTTATTTAGAAGAGATCATAAGCCTTGTCAAAATCTTCTATGAAAAAAAGATTTTTAAGTTGAAGAACATGAATTTGACTAAGGTCAATGTTGCCATAATTGCTTGTCTATTTGAGCTTGAAGTCAAGTTAGATATAACAATTGCTAAGTTAAGGATAGATGAGAGTTCTAGCTAGGTGCAAAAGAAAATCATGAAGGATTCTGATATTTATGAAGTCACCACTAATTTTAGAGCCACTTTCTATTGTTGTATCCAATGAAGAGTAGAACTGCAAAAAAAATTCATTAGGTTAGTCTCCAGAATTAGCTAACACACTCTTAGAGAAGTCACATCAATACATAAAACTTTTGATACAACATATTTATTTCATCTATCAAGCAATATTTTAAAATAGAATGATCCAAATTAATTTATTGGAGTATAGAATGATAGCTATAAATAACCTATTGAATAATAATAATTGTAAATTGAAAAAGTGATACAAATCAAGGCATATAAATACCTCTAGTATAAACAACTGCAAATTCTTAGTCTAAGAAATCAAACTTGATAACAATAATTTCTATTAAGTCAGTTTGTATGAGAAGAATTGTTAAATTTTAGTTATTTTTTTGCTTGTCAAATTTTTAAATGCAAGAGTAGTGAACATTAGTACCACTCTTCTAATAAATACAACTCAAGCTATAATTATTGTTAGAACCAACACCCTTCTTGAAGGATACTTTGACATTCAAGTATAAATTTTCAAAGCCATGGAACAACTTCTCAACATTTAATTGACTCTTCAACATCTTTTGAAAGGAAAAACCACAACTTCTAAAGATAAATGCAACATTTTGGAAGATCTTGTGACTCTTTCATATATTGCAAGTGATTAATAATTTTTATCAAAAAATTACCTAGTTTCACTCAAAGTATGAGCATTTATATACGAGTTTTTATTTAGGATAAGCTACAAGTACCATAAACTTTTAAGAGTTCATATCTTTTTGATTAGAAACTTTGGAAATAAAAAGATTAATTTCAGTGTTTTGTACAAGTTTCTTATGGCACAACCAAACTCTAAGGCCATGACCAATCAAGGCAAGAGAATTACTATAATAGAGGCCCTAAGATTAATTGATAAAGATCAATTGTTTGAAATCTAGTTGGAGGAGGATGTAACCATGGTAAGTGGAACTGTTGTAAGTTTTACCTTGGCATCTGTTTGTTGCTTTGATGCCAATATCCTTGTTATTTTAGCCGAAGTATTGATCACCTTATTTTGTAAAGGTGATGCAAGAGAAGTCACAGTTTGTTGATTCCTTTACTTATAAGCTGAAGCATCATCCAAGCAAAATACAGGCAACATTAATCTTGGAGTTGGTGTAAGATTGGAGATCATACATGAAGGCCTTGGTAAAATTGTACAAAATAGATTTGCTGATGAAGCCCATACAAGATTGTTATGCATTCAAACTTCACTTCAGTAGCTTAATCTTCAAATTGAAGCAATTCAAAATTCAACACATGTCATTCAAAGAGAAATCAACTTTGTCAATGTTAATCAACTCATTGATGAAGAAGAAGACAAAAAAATTCATAGAGGCAACTTCTAAGGCACTCTTATTAGAATATCTATGGATAATGTGTGCTTAGCCATTGTCATTGTTGGCAAGGTCATTTTTATACAATTTTTAAAGTTTGTGAATGATTTTTAAAACAATAGCTTGCTGTCTAATGTCAATAGTGAATCAAAACTTAGCTTAGACTATGGCATGAATGGTACTAAAATTGCAATGGTTTTGTATATGTTGGAGTTCAACTACTTAGAAAATTTGGTTATCATTCATATACAAAGTATTGAATAATACAACTAGGATGTGAATTCTCTTGGCTTAATATCTATTTATACGACAAAGAAAGTAATTGAAATCCTATAATTCATGAGTTCTACATTCTTAATTGGTTTTTATAAGATTATTAATTTATGCCACATCAAATAGATAATGCAAGTAATTATTAAGAATATAGGTAGCCAACTTGCAAAAAAACATTCTACATGAGCTTAGACAGTATCCTACTTGCTACTATATTTACTAAAAAAAAACTCTTCTAAGTTGTCAATTACTAGTATATATTCACATACATTGATGACCTGTATAGCCAAACTTATCTCTTCATGGAGAAATTAAGACAAGCTCTAATTCAATAATCAAAACATTCAAAAATCCTAGCAACAAGAAATTCCTAGAGACCTCTATATTTAATAAAATCACTGCCTTTAAGGACTAGCTTAAGAAATCGGTAACTACCAAGGACCCACTTATTTGAGAGGCTTAAAATAATAATGGCATATCTCAAGTTCCAAACAAAATTAAAAACTGTAGAACATATCCACTTTATAAGTTTATTTGTGAGAATTTATAAATTGAGTTTTTTTTCTAGATTGCACACTATTTCCATAGCTCAAAAAATTGAAAAAGTTTATAATGCTATATGCAAGGATAAGGATGATGTTTACTTGTTGCAATATGTTAAAAGAGGGAGGGTTGCCTTTGGACTATTCTATAATTAAGTTCAATGTGGATATCAGAGCAAGGATTCATAACTAGCAAGTTCAATAATTATGATTAAATAGATGATTACATATTATATTGCTCATTGATCACATCATTTCTTGACAATCAATTTATGGAATAGAATCTTTAAAGTATGTTGTAACATATATAAATAGATCCTTGTAGAAGCAAGTATCTTAAAATAAAGAATTGATATTGAGCAAATACAAGAGTCAAGATAGAAGAATGAGGGTTTAAAGAAGCAAAGCAAGGTGGCAAGCTTAAACGACGTGCTACACCTCAAACAATTTTTTAATAGATAGAGACTTCTGATTTGTGCTTTCAACAGGCAATTGATCATTGTAATTCAATATTATTTCAACAATTTTCATATGTAGATACTTTGTGTTAACAATTCTTTGAAATTATGCTCCATTGTTTGTACTTTCAAAATAGACCATAATCATGCTTCATAACCATCATCAAATTAATATCAAACTCTCACAAATATTATAGTTGAAGAAGAACAAGATATTTCATATCAAGTCTTGTAAGAAGTAAGATTCTAGAGATTTTAAAATTAAAATTTGAAATATTCAAATTACACAGGTTTTAATTGGAAGTTTGAGCTTAGAGATGTAATAATAAGTGCAATTTGATTTAAGGTTTGGAAGTACTTGTTCTAATAGTCTTAGACTCAAGCCAAATAAGTCAATGTAAAATGCTCTATTCATATTAACAATTAAGAGTTTTTTGCAAATATGCTTTATTCATTGTTTTGATATTACAATGTTGTAGAATTAATCAACTTTCTAATGGTCCCAATTAAAGAGAATCTAAGTACATTTGCCATTGAAATTAGAACTAGAATCTCCATCTCTCCATTTATTACATTGTAATTGTATTTAGGTGAGTAGTTGCTAATATTATAATTTTAAGACAACAAAAAGTACAAATAGAATAAAGCAATGACCATATTTTGGGTGTGCAACATAGGAAAGCATTGTTGCTCAAGGGCTTGAGTGGTGGCTTTTGGTAGAGATTACAAAGCTCATACATACAAATAAAATTACAATAGGGAGTTTCAAACATGATACTTTTATAATATCAAATAACTAGGATTCAACACTTGATATTTCCAATATTACTCAAAATATCAAATTCAAATATCATCATTCAAACTTTATTACTCCTTGATATTATCCCCTAATTCAAACTTTATTACCTCCTAATTCAAAATTTATTATTCCTAAGGAGGTGGAGGTGGATGATTTGGTAAGGTATCAAATGATATATCAAAATATCACAGGACATTTACGAAGTATCATAAATGAAATATCACCCAAAAAGGCCATGTTAAAAACCCCCTATTTGAAACGAAAATATCACGAGAATATTGTCAAGGTGGAGAATCTGCTTGATTCCAACAAGTATTTATTCATGTTATGGGGCGTTAAGCTGAACATGTTTCGCAAATCTGACTGAAGCCTAGGATATCCGAACAAGATCACTCTTCTATACTTGAGAATCAATGATCATGCGTTGCAGTCTCAGTTGTAGATCTCTTTGTAGTTTTGGCAATCAAATCATTGAAAGTCGACGAATACTTTGTGGTGGCGTCTCTATGTTCTATGGATCACTTCGTTTTGTTGACCCGTGCACTTTCGAGGTCCTCGATGATCAGTTTTAATTCCTCCTTGATGATCTCTGCAGGCGTCGCAGGCGCATCATCTGTGGCGTTGGCCATGCCCGAAGAATTCGAACTAGCTTGGTTGTCACAAGAAGCTAGTCCCCGTTTCACGAATTCGTCGATCAATGTGTTCACTTCTTCTGGAAGCTCATCATGGGGGCAGTGCCCTGTAAAAAAATCGAGGTTCACGACACTAGCCTTCAAGCTCGACATTCTTCACGAGACTTTTGACCAATCGACACAGCCAAGTGCTCAACATGCTCAACATGCTTGGAAACATTTGAAGGTCGAATGCCGGTGTAGAGCATCAATACCAACATACCTGAATCCAGATACTCCACGCAGACGTTGGAACAGAAAGCTTGCAACATTTCTGGCCTTTTGGTGTTCTTTTGCAGTGGATCATTCTTTCCCTGCGCACCACCATTGACGAAAGCATATGAACAAAACGTAATAATAGCCAGTTTCGTCGTTCATGAAAATTAGGGATTCAAAATCACAGAGGGTGTTGCAGAAATCGAAAGTCCTCTACTATACCTGAATGCAAAGCACATTGCCCTTGTAACGGTCTAGGAAGAAGTTGAGAGGCAACGGCGCTTTCAAGAGAAAGACGCTCTCCAACACAGCTGTATTACCAGGATCATACGACTGTCCCAAGCTAAGGTGAACAACTACCTCATGAACTTGAACGAAAAAACAGTTCAGATGCATCACGAAAAATTGAGTTCCACACTCATGGAAAGCAGAGACTCCAAAAAAGAATTTAACCGCAAAAGGATACACCGCGCTTTACTTCTTCCAGCAGCCACTTGTCTACTCTTGATGGTTGCTATTTATGTCACAATTCAAGGGACAGGATTGTCAGCTCCTCACATCAGCTTAGGAAACCCAAAACTATAACTGTTGCAAATCAGTTTCAAATCTTTGAATACAGAGCTCTGTAAGGATATCCTGGCAATCCAGCAGAGATGAGAACCTCACTTTCGGATAGCACCTCGTAAGCAATTTGTCGCTCGAGCTCTGTAGGTAGAATAATAGCAACTTCGACAACGGCTTCGCTATTGGAGAGCTCTCTCCCGGCTGCAAAACCATCGCGAAAAAGAGAAGGGCCGTCACTGGTTAGTCACCGCTGCAGACGCGAAACCGGCCTTGATGTAAGGAAGAGAGAAACTAAGTCCGAGGCTCGGAATAGAACTATAAATACCTTCTGGTAAGTGAGACCTTTGTAATCTGGGATCACCTTGCCGGCAGTATTCAGCAACACCAACGATGACACTAAAGAGGGCCACAAGCCTGCCACAACAGTGGTTGTGAAACCCCCGATCGAATTTCCAGCCAAGACGACAGGCTGTTTCACAACCTCCACAATGAAGTCGCGCACAAGCTCCGCCCACACAAGCTCCGTGTAGGTCATGTTGGGCTTCTCAGAGCGGCCGAAGCCTATCAAGGTTAAAGCATATACCCGATAGCCTTTATTCGCCAGACCGCGGAGGTTATCACGATAGTGTTCCCAAAACGCTCCAAATCCGTGCACCAGAAGCACTGCAGGCCCATCTTCATTTCCCATCGCCGAGTACTGAATGTGATAGCCCTTCCATCGCCACGCACTGACATGAAAGCCCTTCTCACTCGCTTGCAGTTCGCTCTTTCTCTGCAACAGGTCGAACCACTGCAACGAAACCAAAGAGTCTGTCACTATTCCAATCTCTCTAAGAGCTAGACACAAAGCGAGAGCTTGAGAGTGGTGTTACGGGTATTCAAGCTCATCACCTCCATAGCCTTGACGTCACCAACTGCGTTTCCAACTGTAAAAGTTGAGAAGCCGAATGGAGACAAACGACCACCGTTTCGATCTCTCTCATACTGCAGCGCCTCAAATATCACTCTTCTCCGTGAAATTGTTCCTAAAGCCAACGAGCTAGCGAACAGTTTTCGGAAGGAGGCACCGGGCTTCTTCTCCATCTCCCATATGTGTTCGTATACACTGCCAAATCGCCAAAAACGCCAAGATTAAGGATAGATTGCAACATCAAGCCCATGTTCTTCAACTGAACAGGCGAGTGTTAAACTCACGCTTTGTAATCATCTCTATTTGTTGGCTCCAGAAATCTCAGATATCCTTGCAGGACGTTCAACGCCCCGGTAGCGCCCCCTTTGATGAAGTACTCCCCGATCACCTCCTCCTCCTCTACATCTAGGCCCTGCTTCTTCAACAAGGACGCTTGAGGGCCCTCCAGAATATACTCATCTCGCCACTTCAATACACTTTTGAAGGGACTGTACTCAGCTGACGAGACGCCGTTTTTGCTTGACGATGGGTTGCTGGCCTGCGGAAGCAGACTTTCACCTGGTTGCGACTGAGCTGCTTTTAAGGTTTCCCACCACGGATTTTTTCTTCGAATGGCTTCGACACTCTCAGTGAACTCCTTGAAATCTGGTAAGGAGCCTGTATCTGTCAGACCCTCAGGTAGACCCGGGAATTTGGCCGGTGAAGGCAGCGGGGCAAGAGTTCGAAGGCCGATACGTTGGAACGCCTGGTAATTGTCGGGTATGGACGCAGATTCCTGAATTACCGACAGATCAGAGAAGCTGTAAACATCCTACTCTATTTGTCAGGAAGTTTTTGAGCAATTAACAAGACTCAGGACTAGGATTGTTTAGTGCGACATTCATACTGGAGTGTCATATAGCGGCGCGCTCCATTGATCAAGCTCAAGTTTGGTTTCGGAAATCGATGATGGTTCCTCCTTCTCCAAGGATTCGAGAACCGAGTGGACTGTACGTTGCCAAGTGGATTCAACTTCCTCCTCAGTGATAATACTCGTTGCTCCGATCTGGAACCGGGCTCAAGGAAGATGATTCAATGTCAATTTCGGCAATATGCAACAAACGCCACAGCCCGGCAGCATGAAACTCTGCAATAAAAATGGTTACAGGAATTGAAATCGAATAATGAATGCATACCTTCTGAGCGAGACGACTTAACACATGTTCAGTTCGTGCCGTCAACACGATCAGATCAGAGCCGAGCAATCGCAGCTCCTTTCGAAGGTCGGAAACAGCATCACACAAGCTTTCTAGCAGCTCCTTCGACCAACCTGCACAGATGAACTCCAAATTGCAGCACTCCCACTGAAAGTCATTTACACCTCTAATTACGAATTGCTTTACCACATATGGTCAAGGCGTACACATGCTAATCTGATGCCAGGACGTTGATGACTACATTACTGCAAATCTGTAGGGTATGGAATCAAATGCTGTTCTCGGAACACAGGTACCCAAATATCGACTAAGTTGTGGACCAAATGTTTCACAAATTAGATTAGCACAGTTCAATAAAATTACGCACTCTCTTGACGACTAAGATTTAAACAGAGAACTGATTCAAAGGGTGGCTACGAACATAAATGTGGCGACGAAGGACTAACCGGCGCAGACATATGGATCAAAAATGTAGACGGGAAGCACACGCTTGTACGCAGAAGCGGCAGCCACACCCGGATGATCGTCCAGACGTAAATCATGCTTGAACCACAGAATCGCGGTGTCTTTGGAGGAGCTGGCACTAACTCCATTACCCACTGGGCCAGCTCTAGGACTAGCGTACGACTTCACGGATTGCCCGTCTCTTCTCAAGCTGTTCTTTGGTGCTCTAAATTCTGCTAAGTTCATGGACACCGAAAGATTCTCACATTGGTGCAACGACTCTGCAGAATTCGAAGCCCTTGTTTTCCAATGAGAACATGCGATGAAGTCGTAACATTGCACCTGCTCAATTGGCTTCAATCTAACCTGTCCAGCGCCGCTGAGTGCTGCTTGCAACGAGCTGGCTATGGTGGCGGCCATGGTGAGCCCAACCATGCAACTTCACATGCACCGAATTCTACAAACTCCCCAACAATCACACTGATTTCCCACTGCAGATTTTTCCAGCTGCGGTACGCTCTACACCTCGAGAATCTTCTCCGAAAGAAAGTTGCCACTGCGCCGAAGCTTGAGAAACAGGCTACTGAGCTACAATTTCTACGTCCGCGCGACGTCGTCACCACAAAAGTCCGAAATCAGCTTCGAGGCATTGAAATTCCAGTCCACTCAGGAGGTTAACCAACACCTGGTCTCCCGATTGGCGTGATCACCTTCGAGCACGTCACCACTGTGGCTGCGGCCGAACACAAACCCCCCGCTCCAGCCACAGCAATGCGCTTCCGCAGCATCGGCATGTCGACCAGTGGAGCAGAATCCATCGTCGAACGTCGATCGGGAAAAGGCAGCACCGCGTCGATGAATGGTTCCGATGCGTCTCGCGGGTGCGCGCGAGCAATCGATCAGTCGATCCATCTCCATTACTTTCAGTTCCATCTAGACCAATTGTTTGTTGCGGAGTGTGCATCATCTAGTCAATGCATCCAGAGGATGTCCCAAAAAGAGAGGGGTTTTCCTGGCGATGGTTGCAGCGACATCGATGTGTCCATATCCAGAAAGCTGGAAGAGGGGGGCGGCATTGGTTGTGAGTCTGCATATCCAATGGTTGTCAATCTCACAGCCTGGATTCTCTCCAATCAGTGTGGCCCATCGTCTTCCTGTCGAGTGAGATCTATTCTGGCTAATAGGGGGGTCAAACTTAGAAAATATCAGTAGTATTGCAGCTTTCAAATAACACACCGCCATCTCTCAGGGACCTGCCGTTCTTGTCTAAAGAATGTTGCTGATTTGCTGCTGAAATCGGACTTTAGTTCAATGTGTGGAGACCATAGTAAGTGGTGCAAACCTGCTGCTTGAACATGGTTGGAGGATGGGACATGAGATAGTTCAACAAGAAGCATGACATTTGGCAACCAAAGTTTTGTCATCAATGTATTGAGCGTGTGATGCCTAAGCATACAATTGGTTGAGCTCTTAGAACTTCAAGTCATTAAACCAACAAGTTAGTAAAAATAATATAACTTTAACAGTTGCTGATAGAAATGAGATGTGTCAATGTTGAAGACATAGATTTTTGTTATTTTTTTTTTTTAATTTGGTGTAAAACAATTGTTTTTATTTATTTGAAACCAAAGTTACTTAGCTAAAATTTTAAAATACCAAAAAATCACAAATTTTAGGATAAAAATTTATATACAAATTGACATTTTAAAAAGATGAATGTTTTTCTTGCTATCAAATGTTAATGTTTTATTTATTTTTATTTTTATTTTTTTAATAAATTTGAAATTAATTAAAAACTAAAATTAGCTTATTTAAAAATATTATCATTAAATAACTTGTAATGATTTAAATAAGTGATTTTATCATTCTAATAAAGATAAAATATATCAAATTTCAAAATGTTGTTATACATTTAAAGGTAGAGAAATGTAATTTTTTGAGATAGTGATTATATTTATGTATATTAATTTAGAATGCTAAAAATTATTATAAATAGTAAATACTTAATTTTAATTATCATTAGATAACTCTTTAAATAGATTGAATAGGAACTAAATCCATAAAATCTAGAATTTAATAATAGATAATTGAATATTAATATTTTTTATTATTTGATAGATTGTATATAACTAATTGATTTTTTTATTGGATCTTATATTTAAAAGATGTAACACATCAAAATATATATTTTTTATAATTTTGTAGTAATTATATATATATATATATATATATATATATATATATATATATATGCATCTAAATTAAAACTACAAATGAAGAAAGTTGTAGTACATATGAAAAAAAGAAATGTAATTAATTTTAAATTGCAATTATAATTTTTCTTTAAGTTTTTCTATGTACTACCTAATTAAATTTATTAATAATAAATCTTAATAATTATTAAATTTTAATTATTTAAATTTATTTGCATACAATTTCTAAATAATAAATTACAAATGAGCTTTTTGTCATTACAATTAAATTCTTGTTATTCCTAATTATAGATTGTTTTAAAATTTTAGTGCAAAATCATTAGATAAACATAGAAATTTTTGAAATAGCATTAAAAGATGTAATATTATCAAAATAAAAATAATCTCTTTCATAAATAATTGTGAAGTTCATGATGACTTCATGGACACACTAATACATAACTAATAAGATTAGAAACAACTTATTAGAATTAAAATCCTTCTCAGATCCATTATTTTTTTGTTTTTGCAGGACTTGTCTATTATTAAATATTATTTTATGTTAAAAAAATAAAATTTTTGAAAATATTTAAATAAAAAAGTTTAAAATTGGTTTATATAATATTATCCAAGAAATTTTCCAATAATTTTGTGATATTTACAAGAATTCATGCAATCTCTTGAGTTTTCTTAATCTATACACCTTGTAAGATTTTTATTTCTAATTTATTATTATTATAATATAATAAATGAACTTAAATTTGTAACTATTTAAAAAAATATTAATTTTTTTGTATAAAACTAGTGATAAATTGTGATACATAGCTTAGTAATTGTGATATATAGCTTATATATATATATATATATATATATATATACATACATATATATCCAAAGAAATTTTACATGATAAATATTAATAGCTATTATATATTAAAATATATTAGATCATATATTATTTTATCTATTATATATAACAACTTGGATATAAGATAAAAAGATAAAAAAGCCTTCTCATTCGCTGAATAAGAAAACAAGAGAACAAGAGAATATGAATGGATGGCAATGCCAAAGATTGGAATGGCATGGGTTTGTTCTAGTGTTATACAAGTCAAAAGTCCTGAAATGATTATGAATGTGAATTATGGTTTTTACTAAAATATTTTTTTAAAATCACATGAATTTTTATTTATTAATTATACTTCAATTTATTTATTTATTTATTTATTTATTATTTTATAATTAGAGTGGAACTTAATGGTGTGGATGTTACGGTTAAGAAGCACATGAGATCCTACAGTTGTGTAACCTTTTGCCGCCTTGCAGTTTCCAGTGGCACTCATGACCGATCCGAGGTTCTTGACCTAATAAAGCAAGCAGGCGACATTTCAATGCAGGAGGAGCAACAACAAGATGTCGAAGCAATCAGGAAAAGACTTCTCTCTTCTCGGACACGTGCATTATGCAGCACAATCTTTTAATTGAGCGTCACAGTTCTGTAAGTTGACATCAGAACTGCTTCGCAATCATTCTTACGATGCACAAGGCCATGAGAAGGGGATGGCTGTGGTGACTAGGATTGCTTGATGCGTTTATAATCTGTTGATCAATTTGCAAGAAAGTTTTGGCGTCGCAGAAATTTTTAAAGCAAGTAATTAACTGGATTTGTGATTGATGTATACGTCTAAATAATCAATCGTTGTTTTTTTTGTTTTATGTTTTTTGTTTTGTTTTGTTTTGTTTTTTTTTTGTTTTCCTGTATTGATAGGATGTGCTAATTGTGGAACTTTGCATCTATATGCAGGAGTTCAATACTGTGACGAGAGTCCAATGTTGCTGTGATGAGAATCATGGCAGGGGAGATGGTTGAGGTGCAGTGTTGACGGGTATCTGCGGGATTTGGTTAGAATGGAAGCCAGAATGGCGGTCAACACGTCGTTGACAGATATGAGAGAAAAAGAATGAGTTGAAGCCCGGCATGGTTCGAGGTGACTGCCTCGGCTGTTCTGTTCTTGAAAATGTGAACTTCTGTTGAATGTGCCAAGAAAAGCAGGAATTGATTGGCACCATGTCACACGGTGTCTATGAAGTTGCCATTTTGAATATGCCACCGGCCCCGAAGAAATTCTGTCGAAGCCATTTGCCGGATGCTTCAGCATGCAAAACCACTGTTGTCTGACGTCGGCAATGTCCGGTTTATTGGACAATTCCTCTGATTGATGTGACCGATTTGATGAGAAAAATGAGGGGAGAACAGTTGGAAGTCTATAGCAAGTGGCGCAGACGCGTTTGAATAAGCGTGCTATGAGCCAATTTTCGCCTGGCGTTTGAGTTCCCACGACGGCCTGCAAATGCCGTAAGTCCTTCAACCTTTTGCTTTTTGATTATTTCTTGGTATCTGAATTGTTCACTCTTCAATATATTGAACTGTGATTCAATTCTTACATATTTATTGTACTCCTTATTAAGCTTTCTGCAGTACAATATGTGCTGATAATGGCCGTTTGATTAATTCTGGCGATTGAGGGCGGCTCGTAACCAGCAGTGTAAAACCTACCTTTTTTTAGCTCGAAACTGGGATGGCAACCCCTAATTGTGTTGGGATCCATTCTATTGTAAGCGAGGATAATAGCCACTCTTCATGAAAATCTTTTGCTTGCCAGTGCCTACTGAAGTGCATTCTATCATAGAATCAAGTGATTTGCGCTTGCTCTAATGGTTGCGGGATCCACTTTCTTTAAAAAAGAAACTTTACCTTTTCATTATATACTGCATTGGTTACGAGTGCATGTGATCACCTCGGCTGTATGAGAGCAGGGACAACAATGGAGAAGGTCAAGGTCAAGGGTTGGCAATGTTACGACTGGAAGCTCGCAGATACAAACGAGAGATGCAACAAATTTGGAAGCGACGTGAGCTTCATGAACAGAAAAAATATATCGCCTCCCCGTCCTGTGAAAATTCATCAAGATTTCATGATGACGGTTGGAGTTCCTCGAACATCTGTTCGCCTTCTACAGCAACAAGTGGCACTCTGATTTTTAGGAATCGGTGAGTCACCGCAGTAGTAGGACTTTTGGCAATAGTGCAGCATGTTGATGTACGATGATGCATTCATATGCTTACAACCATTCGATTTCTTATTAGCGACAGGCATGTGCTTCACCCGAATTCTTTTCTTTGTGGTATTCACTCTTGTAGTTGGAAGTAGCTTCTAATGCTGCATCTTACTTCACACATCAGTTGCAGGTGCTGGCCTCTGGCATCATTTCCTCCAAGTGTTGCACGTTGGTGTTGAACTTTTAATCATTTGATGACACAAGCGGGCTAATTGACCATTACAACACTTAAATTACAAGTCCGCTCTATTGTTGCTCACAAGTTACGTGCCTATTTCTTGCATTAGGGAGGATGGCGCCATTTCGCGTATTGGGCAACTGGCTATCGTGGACGAGGGAACCCAAACTGATATCCCTTCTACGAGTGGGATTCGGATTGAAACAAAGAAAGCTCAACTTGACGAAGTCGGGGTTCGAAGCATGCTAGAAAGCAGGACGGATCTCTCTGAAACCAGGGACATATCAAAACTAAGGATTTGTAGCAGGCATTGTGACGAACTAAGGAGTAGAATTACCCAAGAAGCAGCATGCGAATGCCTCGCCGACACAGCAGTTCGTGTTAACGCTGATGTGGTGTTCACAGCGAAACCAAAACGAGTTTTAGTGGGAGGTCAGATGGAGACCTCGGATTTCTGTTTTTCCAGAGCACATGATCTAGATGGAAATGGGATTGTTTTAAACGCATCTACAAATGCAGCAAGTCCGAATGGAAGTTTGGAAAATATCCCGAAAAGCATTGACCCCGTCCAGTGCTCACCAACCGGGTTGATGTCCTTGGTCTACCCTGTGCCTCAACGCGACAATGCCTGTTCGCCGATCCATAATCTCCATGGATGTGGTGCAAGTTTTAGAAGTCTTCCAACCAAAAATAGTAGTACAACTCCCACGAAAAATCTCTCGTTGCAACTCGGCAGGCTGGAACCTGAGAGAGCTTGGAGTGTCCCTCCACCAACATTGTCAAGCCAAATTTCGACGCCTCAACCCGAAGCCTCGTTGGGTACAATTTTAGTCCATGAAAAATTGCAATGTCACAGAATAATTTTAATCAAAATGTTTATACAACCTATCGTTGAATTTTGGTGCGATTTCTGAGGAAATGGGAAATCTTGATTTAGAAGATATCTTACATGCTCTTGACCACAGTATCTGTTGGAGCATTCATGACAAACTGCCATTTACACTTATACAATATGTTCAGGATTTTTAGAAGGTGGACGCAAGCTGCCTGCTAATTGCAAGGCCAAATTATGATTCGAGCAATTGAATTATGAATTAATGGCTACCATCAGTCTCTTTTTCTTTATCAAATTTGATTACTATTTTCCCCTTAAGCAGTTGATACCAAGGCTAGAATTAACACGTCGAACTTTTCTGCAGAAATAAGTGGATGTAAGCGAGTACATAACGAATTGACTGAAGAAGGTGGAATGGCTGCAAAGTTGGCTACAAGGATAAAACAAGCTCTGTGTGTAAGATGCTTTGGTGAAGCTCTTTTTGGTGATATTTGCTGAGTACTTCTTGTTTGAATTCAACGATATTTAACGACGTGAATCATAAGCATGGGCCTCGGGGTCGTACACAGGACGTGTTGGTCTAATTAAAAGTGATTCAATTCCATGAATAAGCTGAAGGACTTCCATGAGGGTCAGGATGATTGCCAAATCTTCAATTCCCGTGAATTGTGAATTAATCATCATCTTTCGCTGTGATCAGCGGAAACTGATAGACCTCTGTGTCGTGATGTGTGCCCGTTATGGAACACTTTGCCTTGCCTTGTATCAGTTAATTTAATTGTTTGTTTACAATGGCGGAGGTGAATATCGACTGATTGATTAATCCCAAGAAGTTAATGCTTTCAAGTCCTTGGTAAATCTAACTTGTTCCTGTCATGTCGCTGTTTGCGTCCAGGCAATCAATGGAAAGGCAGATTCTCGTTCCTCGAACTCTACTTCAAGCGTTTCGGGTCAAGCAATTCAGAGTATCAAAGGTTGTAGTTTTTTTCATAAAGACGAATTTCCTGAGATGAAATTCTCAGAAGAACCAGACAAAATATGTGATGGGAGTGGGGCTTCGAACAACAAGGATCTATCAGTATGCAATATCTGCTTGCCAGATATATGTGAACATTCCTGCAGAGTTCCTGTGAGCTCACAAAACCTTATCAAGAGTACCCCACCCAGTGACGCAGACATATACTTTCAAAATGTTATTGCTGCTCTCTCCAACGACCGACATGCTCCACATAATCGTTCAGGGAGTAGTGCTGCAGGGAAGGTGAGTTCTGCACAAGCTGTAAGAAAAACTCACCGCAGTGCAGAGGCTACTATTAGGGCCAATGTGAAGTCATGTGGAGACCATCACGCTACTCACCAGGCTGATGTAATGAACGATTCTATGAAGATTGATATGCGTCAATCTGAGAGTAGCCATGTGAAGGAGAAACAAAAGTTGTTATCAAATGTTCGAAAGCTTCAGCAAGTTGCGGAAACAGCGAAAAGGCTATACACTGATCTCGTTGATTGTGCGTATGACGACCTCAGATCTTCCACGGATTGTGGAAACATGGTTATCCGTAAGAATGAGGGTGGTTCTGGAGATATCTCTAAGTGTCCCCGGCTCCACAGCGAGGTTTTTGCTTCGACAGAATCAACTTCCGCAAATGGAGCAAATAGTACATCTGCAGGTGATAACCAAGGGTGTGGAAAGTGTCATGTGTCCCTGCCTCAGGTCTTTTCGAAGAAGAACCCTCGGGCTTGTACTAAAGATACAGCTGCCTACACCAGCAGAGGCAATTCGCCTTGCGGTGAGTGAAATTCCAGCCTGATTCTAGGCCCCTGATCTCTTTTTCGGATCCACTGTTAACTACTCTAAAATATTTGTCTCCTTAAATTTAATGACATTCTCACTTGGGTGAAAAATACGATGATCTATCAAACGATTTATTTAGCAGGAGTTAATGGGCAAGCGATGTGTTTATGACAAGGAATAGTGAATTGCAATCAATTTAGAGTGCTTTCATAGAAGGTTTTGAAAGTATTCGCATTTTCATGTGGATCTCAACTCTTCATTCATTCGTTACTTAACTGACAGTATGACATGGCTCTTGGGGATTCCTCTGGGCAAGTTTGAGTGATTGCAGACGGAAAACGTTGTCTTAGCTACAAAATTTTATATTATATTTTGAGACGTGGTAAGTATTTGTTCTTCCTAAACTTCAAATGTAGCTTACATAAATGATTGTCCGGAATTTTTCTGTGCTTTTATTTTGCAGGCTTTGAACAGCCTCCAGAAGAAGCTCGGGCTGACTGTCTTGATGAAATAACCATCGAGTTATCTGATGACATGGCGACTAATATCAAAGTGTCACAAAATGATTCTAAAAACCGACCCGGTTTCAACGTTGAGATTTCTACCCCAAATGAGTCGCCATGTCAAAGAGTAGGTCCACCGGACAATCGGGGTGAGAATGTTGTTAGACAAGGAACCGCATCTTGGAAGGAATCATTAAAAGATGCTACGCATAGGAGTGATCAGGTAGATACTGTTGAAAAGGATTCCTCACAAACCAACTGGAGTCATCAGCTAGTGAAGAAAGCCCCTAACAACTGCCTTTTGGATCCTTATTGCGTCGGTCCTCGGGATAGTTGCCACATGCCAGCGTATCGGAAGTGTTCTGGAGCTTGTACTGTCAGCTGCAGCGAGACAAAGAGAGATTCCAAAGAGTGCTCTCTGGTTCCTAATTATGTCGGTCCAAGAAACCATGCTCGGAATAATTGCAGCAAGGCAACTCGTGAGAATGGCTCGAGAGATCAAGCGGCGATCGTTAGCATCAACCATCCTAAGAAAGACTCCAAACTGTGCCTCTTAAATCATTGTGGCGTTGGATCTCGAAATAACTGTCACATGTCAGCATGTGAAAAGACTTGTAGGTCTCTTAATAGACCAGGCGGCAACTCTCGCCTTAATCGGAATAATGGTACTCACTTGGATGACAAGGATCTTTCTTGTCTTTGTCCTCGATGTCTTGTTCATCATGAGAAAGAGATGGTAAATGCGAAGGAGAAGTTTGAAAACAATTGTTGTGTCGGGAAACAAGGTAGCAATGGAAAAGACGAAAAAAGTAATCTTCGTACTGAGATTCCTGGTCATGTTGTCATTATAGAGGAAAGAAAAAAAAAGGATTCGAAGAAATTCTGCAGGGGCATGAGCAAGCTTTCTCAGGGACGGTTGAATAAAATTTCAAAAGGAAGTCCTCTTACTGAGGACAGAGACCATAGAGATCTGTGTACTTCACATGACGTACGGAGTTCCTCACTAAAAGTAGAAGGGAATGAGACCACCAATGGGGGTCACGACGAAACATCTCGACAGAATCGTCCTTCAAATGAAAAAACAGACCTTAACGATCCTGTAAAAACTGTTTACAAACTGTTTCAAGATTCCTCTCGAACTAGAGAGGGTGAAAGAACTCAGTTCAAATTTCCAGCAACTGAGATTTTCGCAGGGGAGCATGCTTATGTAGTAAGTGATGAGTTTTCTACCATCCTGTCTGTAAGAGGCATACAATCATTAGTAATCTCAAGTACTCTGTATTTGTTCGCAGGCTTTTGAAGACGTATAACATCTCTTGTGAAGGAACACAGCATGGCAAAGAACCTCAATGACTTGAAACATGATGATAAAAGACTTATGCTGCTGATTTGTGGATTTCTATCAGACACTAACTACATAAGCTGCGTTGTTGTACAGGGAAACGAAACCAAGCAATCCCCAGTGAGTTACCTCACTTGCTCAAGAGTTTTCATCCTTTTCTTCTATTTATTCGTTTGTAATATTTTCTGATAGCTTATTGATAGATCCAGGTGCCTTAACGTTGATTCATCCGGTAGTTAGCAGAAAAGTCGGGCATAAAGAAAACTTCGTCGGCATCGGTGCCTGACACCAGAGTAAAGTTCTAGGTAATCGCTAAGGTCCGTTCCAGGCTATAAAATCAGGAAGTCACCACGTAAAGGAAAAGAGAACGTCTCGGAATCAGTTGTAAAGTATCTGTTGCGAGTCAAAATATTAAAAAACTAAACAAGTGTTTTTCTAAATTATCATTCACATGACAGCATTCCTCTGATGCTTTGAAAGCAGGTAGTACATACGACTGACAACGCCACAGCCACACTACGACATAAGCCGCAGCCGGATGCTATAGACCGTGCAGCTGCAGCTGCAGGTTTTGCAAAAGAAATTGAATCGATGATAGCAGTGCAGCTTGACAAGTCAAGTCGGAGGACCATAGAATCAAATCATTTGTTGTCTCGACAAAAACTCCTCGAAGACCAGAACGATTCCTATCCACAAACGAAGTTGGACAGAGTGGTGCTAGCTGCAGCAAACGCTGTAAACAAATGCATGCCAATATCATTACTTCTCCCTATCAAACAAGATGAATTAAATCAAAAGCCAGTTCCACGCAAGGGCCCGACTCCTCGAGCTACCGTGATTTCTGACGCAAATGGAGCTAGTTTTTATGATCAACTAGACCAGGTAAAAATCGGCAAGTCATCAGGAAAAAGTGAAGCTCTTTTACTGCTCTAGCATAACAATGTAGAGACAAGCTTTCTCTTATGATGGTTAACTCGTGTGCTTTTTTTAGTAAACAAATGATTAAATCTGAAGGTAAGTTATCGAGTTATCTGGGTTCTGCCGAGGTTTTGCTTAGATTGTAATCATAAGGTTTATGTTAAATTCATCTTTTATGATGACTAGAATTGTCGATTGGTGATGAGCAGCAATTGGAACTACTAGCATCTCAGAGGATGAAATTACTGCGGCAGGAACGAATTCACCTTCAATCTCTGTTCGGTCGTCTTCAGGCAATGAGAGATTCTGCATCCTCCTGCTTATCATAATTTCTCGCTAACATTTGGAATGCTAAGTTTATTGACGAAGGTCTAGTCATGTTAATTCTTTGTCTCGTGTTCTATGTTCAACATGTACTGCGGCTTTCAAGTATTGTTAAGCTATAATATTACTCCTGGGGTCAAATTTCCAGTGTTGAAGCTTTGTATGCTCAAACAAATTAAAGCTCTTCCTTGTTACAGTAACTGAAATGAATGTTTTTGTTGGCATTCTATGCAGGAGCATGACCCAAAGGCAGAGTTTTATATGAAAGAAAGAAGTTCAACTGCTTTTAAGTTCCTGGCCAATGACTATGATGACCTTGAAGAACCTAAAAGGTCTATGTGGATGCGAAGAAGCAATGACTGCTCGACCACTGGCGATGGGTCTGTCGGCTTTCAGATTCCAGGATCCAAGCGACAGCGAAGCATCACCTTTCCAGCTAGGAAGAGGGGGAAAAAGTTATTGCGTTTGAGTGTCGGAAAACCTGAATCTCATTCTGGTAGGAAGAAACAGGATCAGCATACCATACTCCCGGCTTCACTTAATCAAGCATCGAGATATTCAAATAGAGGGTTCGATAGTCGACGATCAGTTAAATTTGAACCTTTCAGTAGTAGATTTTCCGGCAGGAGATGTTTATCTCTTTCTGAAGCCTGTGATGGGAAGTTGAGTGACACTTCAGGTCCAAACTTTGACGTTTCTTCGATCAATAGATTGAGTTCCTCATCATTTGGCAAGTGGAAGCCTCTATCGGAACAAGCTCAAGCCAAACCTACGACCAAGAGACGAATATGCAATACATGGAAAATCAGATCTACACCATGGGTTGAAAGGATGGCTAAAGCAAAGGATACTTTTCCTAGTCTCTTCCGCCCCATGCTGCTAGCTCATCCCAGAAAAGAGCCTCAACTGAAAGCGACTGTTTATAGAAGAAGTTTTCCTCCTCCTGGGTTGATGTTTAGATCATCAGTAGGATCAAGTAATTTTAGGAAGCATGTTGCTGCAGGCAGAGCGTTTCCTCGTGTGCAACATAATCCATCGATAGTACGTGGGAAGCACCCAAATCCATCTTTTCAGTATGACATAAATACAGGGCGGAAAATTGTAGATTCAGAGTTAGAACAGGGAGAACTCACAAAAGCGGAATGTAATCTCGTAACAACAAACCTCAAGTCTCGCGCTTCATGGATTCGTTCTCCATCTACGCTCAATTCAAGGGGGAATATTATCAGAGTAAAAGGTTGGAATGCCGATCCGTTGATTAGAACTGATATTCCTCACAAACCTACAGATATTATGCGCTACAACCGAAATGTTGGACAAGTCGTCCAAGTTCGTAGAGGGGACGCACATGAAATGCATAAAACTTCACCAGGGACGTCCGGAAGATCGATGAATTTGCGACGTGTTACATTTGCGGGAATGGAAGTGCACAATTCTCGCAATTCGAAAAGTTGCAAGGACTTATCTGCACAAGGTGATGCTGCTCTAGAGTCTATCAAAGCTAAGAAGAAGGCTATCACATCGCTACCTGGGAAAGTGAGAAGTGCCGTTGGAAAACGCCGCAACTTTTCAAGAACAAAATCACCATCCATGCGAAGCTCGGATAAAGTTCACAGGTATGGCAATGGAGGCGGACAATGGGCTCATCACAAAGGATTCTGGACAGAAATGTTCAAATCTGAGTTTTTTAAAGTGTCTGAGGTCGATTCAATACAGGATATTATGACCTTTGGGTCCATTTCACAGACAGAACTACCTATGTTGAAAGTGGAAATTGCTCATGGGACGGACCCACTCGGAAAGCTTGGCATTAGAGCTGGAACAGAGGGTTCATCGATCATGGAAACATCAGTGTTGGATGGCGGAGATCTGACTGTTTTTAATTGTGAAAACATTCCGCGGATGGCAAATGCACCATCTTCGGAGACAAATACTGAGATAAGGAACGAGCATGATGTGAAAGTAAAGGGTAGATCTGAAGAAATTGGGAAACCTCAAAATCCTGATTTATTCAAGAGCTTAAGTTTCTTCAATTCACATGGTCTTGAGGGCAGTGCGATAAATGAGCACATCAGTGTTGCAGTCAAGAGCGATTTCTTATCCGATGCTGGAAGTGACAAAGATGAGCAAGCCGAATCTTGCTATGAGTTCAGTTCATCAATTGAGGCAAAAATGCAAACCCAAATTAGCAAGATCACTTGAATTATGTTTTGATTTCAAACTCTCATTCCTCTTGGTCTTTCTTTAACATTGCAGAAAGTGTTTGAATTATCAAAATGTATGTTAAAAGAAATGAAAACCATGGTGAGCTATGTGAAGCATGCAAAAGTATTATGAACTTCAATTTGAACTTATAAGCCGTAAGGTATCTATGAGTAGTCCGCTGAATGTCACTTCAAAGTCGTCACTGACGATGCATCCGTTTTGGAAAAGTTACTTATTATTTGAATTTGCTTTTAGCAGGATGGACTGGAGCGACATGAGCGTGATATTAGTTCTAAAGATCTACCTGTGTCACCTTTTACACTTTTGGGTGGCGTATTTTCAGAGAGCATAGAGAACGTGATCCCAGGCTGCATGATTGATCATCTGCAAGAATCAACTTCTGTCCAGCAGGAAATGCAATCAGAAGTACAATGTCTCGCTCTTGAGCGCATCACTCGACAAACTTTTCCTGACGCACTTGGTAAGGAAAACAAAGGACAGTTAAAGAAGATGGAGTTGGAGCAGACTTTGATGAATATTGTTCTGCACTCAATTCTGCAGGATGACCTTTTGCAAGATCAAGAAGTTTCCGCTTCTAGCATGCAGCCGATATCTTTGCCCATCAACAGGACGTAAGTACAAAAATAGTGTCAAATGACTGCATCTAGTAAAATTTTGGCCGCTCTAACATTGTAACTGTTATCGAATGTTATGAATGTATTAAATTCTTGTTAAGTCAGAAAAAGAACCAATTGAATAGTGTTTGATGATTCTCTTGATATTTTATGGTATCTAAAATAGAAATAAGTTGACGGTTAACATTATTGATGGTACGTAACCAGAACACCTAATCCCATAACCTATCTTTGAAGAATGCACACTCCAAAATGTTCTTGCTGTGCAGGGTAGTCAAGCGGGTTGACAAGGAAGTTGAGGTTTTTGTGCAGTCACATGAGATGATCCGATATCCTACACCCGATGCAGTATTATGCATAAATAGAACAGAGCATGGTGCCGTGCCTCATGTTGGTGTTGCCACAGAGCATGATGCCGTGCCTCATGTTGGTGTTGCCACAGAGCATGATGCTGTGCCTCATGTTGATGTCGCAACAGAGCAAGAGATCATATCCCATATTGATAAAGGGACAGAGCTGGAAATAAGTTTATTTTTCAAAGATCAGGGCATCCAGACTGCGGATGTTGAGCCTCTAATCCAAAGTATCCTGAGACCCTCACCTTCAGCACCGCACAAGTACAGTACAAAGGTGTGGAAGTAATTGTCGTAACCATTTTCATCTTGATAGAGGCGTCTTTATTACTTAGAAAACATTTGAAGTACTTGGTGTTCGTTTTTTGCAAGCGAAAATTGGGGTGAATGTGAGAAAAACAATGTGAACAAGTTTTGTGTGTGCGTGGCAGCTACAGACTACGCAGGTGCACGACGAGGCAATTGAGCGTCAAGTTCCTTGTAGTAACGTCGGAGCTCAAACACCAGAAAAAAATGCTGCTATATCAACAACATCGCCCAACCCTTCGGCTGCGACGTCCATGTCGATGCCAGTTTTCTGTCAACACTTGGGAATTAGTATCCTTCCTACAATTCTTCCTACTGTTCACGTTGAGCTTCCTATTCACGTAACAAGCTCCACGAATGTACCACCCCCTCCCGTGAGTACAGCAACTTGCAGCTTCCACGCTGGAGTGAACCCAGGAATACAAGCTACTAGAGCCAATATCCAACTGTATCCCGAAGAGATTGCTGCACAGGATCATCACAAGGTGTCGAAATCGTCAACCAGAGACGAAGCTTTACCTGAGCAACTTGGTGTTGTAGAGGAAGAAAGCGAGAAAGAGAGTGATTGGGAAGATTTGAAGGGATCTTCTCCATCAACACCATCAACACCTCTATCCTCTCCTGGACATAAAACGAGTTTAAAGAAAGCGATGGAACTATACGCATGTAATCCCAATACCCAAGCAACGGTCCTTGCAAGACAAGATATTCAACCATCAGTTCCGGAGGTGTGTCAGTTATTGGCAAGCAATGGTCTTCAGCCAGATCAGACTTTTGTGGGAAAATTAGAATCACCAATTCAGATCGCGACGGAAATGATATCCAAAGACTTGATAACAAAGGAGCCACCTCAAACGTCTGCTGATGTGACAAGGTATTGACTAGGTCCCGTTCATTTTGAACAAAAATCATTTTACTCTCAGTGTCTTTGGTGTTTGGGGTGACAAAAAGTACAGGTTGGGTATGTATTTCAGAGCTAGCGTGATAGAAACCCTATGAAACGGTCAGGAGTTCAAGAAGTATTACGCTACAGTCACTCGTCGCCATTCTCATCTGTGTTCCTGAACCGCACATAGTCTCGATGATTATTAGGATTAATCAAGAAACTTCAGCCGTTCTCTTAATGATAATCAGATACTATTAAGCGAAAGGGGTGTTGAAAGTCTGGGTTGAGATGCCATCATTTTTTTTGATATCTGAACAGAAGGTTCACGAGTTGGGCAAAACTCAAGAAGATGGAGGAAGCTGCACTTGTGCTGATTGGAGCTGCTTCAATGAAGACGCTCCCCCTCATAAGTTCATCTGAGTATTCTTGCGAAAGTTCACTTGAGTTTCACAGCTTGTTGTCACCAGGCGAAATGAATACTGAAGGTTATAACTTTCAATGACTGTCTTTGCCAGATATGAAGGGTTGCGAATCATGTTTTGGAGCCACAGTTGTCATGTGATATACGCTATGTTTTGGCACTCCTCATTCCGTTTCTCTGAGGCCATACAGCGATCTTCCCTGAGTTTTAATATGAAAGTGGTGAACTTTTTGGGAATGAAACATCATCTAAAAAGTTTACATAGTGGAGGGTTAACGTGCTTAAGAGATATTTTGATTGCTAAAATCATAGGACAGTGAAGAAGTTCTGATCGATGATTTTCATGCTTCTCAAGGGTTCTTTGAAAAGAGAACCTCGAATTTTGAGATCCTTGAGAAACGGAGACCTCTGAAATGCTTCTGGAGTCTGATTGTCTGGGCATGCAATTTTGAATTCACGTTGATTACTTCGAATTCATATTGATATCGGATACGTGATGATTCTTTGCCATTGGTCAACTATGATATTTTGAACATTCTTCGTTTGATTGACTTTGTAATGTCTGTGCAAGTGCAGAAGTTGGGAGGAGCAGCACCAACAGCAGATTTCTTGATTCCATGTGCATTTCAAGTACTTTTAAAGATCTCTTGGAAATAGAGCCTCAAATTCATGCATGGGGTTCGCTTGGCAGTGGACGAGCTTCTGTTGGGGAGATTGGTAATCCAATTCGCTTCTTTGGATCGTTGTCAGAGGGTACATTCATTTCCTATTCAATGTAATTTTCTCATAAATGTGCATTGATATGTTTCCGAACTGTGCATAAATTAGAAAATGGCACAAAAATGCATGGTGCGTTGGTTGGACTGTTAGAGGGTCGCCTTTGAAGTTGGAAGGATGTGATTTGCTAAGTGTTTGGATCATAGGTGAAGTCGAAGCTGGAATCTTGCCATCATCGAACGAGTTAGGGGAGATTCATAGACACAATTATACCTCTCAGCAAGGATCTGAACCCGGAGAATTGGATGCGGTTGCTGATGTCTCCTCTCCACGACAATTAGCGACCCACTCAGTTGTTTAGTAGCTTCTAATCAACTATTGCTTGATTCAAGTTTATTAAAACACGTCTTCTCAGATTTTCAGACAACAATTCACTTTTGACTCACGTGAAGCCGGACAGAGACTGCTGTGTCGTGAAGTGGACTTCTTGTATGTATCAAGTAGCTTCTATTATCTCCTGTTGTATAAATTCACATCTAGGTGCATCCACGGTATCCAACTAAACATTTAAGAGAGTAGATTTGAAAACAAACCCCCACGTGCTTACAGGTACTGATTTGTATACTTAAACAGAAAAAGTATAGATTGAGTGAGGATGAATCTGCAATTGCAACTGTAATGTTATGTGCAACATGGAAGCCACGCGACTTCCACAAATTTAAGTATCGAAGACTCGTGTTTGAATACTTCGTCCAGTGTGACAACTTGTCCAGAGATTCACAATCCAAACCTCACGATCATGTTTGCCATACACGTCAACCATTAATTTTTGTGTCCTTCTACGCATAGTTACAAATGAGAGAGCGATCTTCAAGAAGTATAAATAAGATAGTAACTTTTTAACATGATACTGTAATACTGAAACATCTTTGCTCTACATAAAATTTAATGTTTGTATTTATGTAATCTTTCGATTTCATTGATAAGGTGATTTTGATCTATCAACTATTTCCATATTATGTTAACAAAAACTGTCCCATATTAATACAAGTAAGGCACATGAAAAATATAAAACCTGCGTTTGTGGAGATCCGATGATTTCTATTTGTTATACTAGACTGTTTACCAACACACTACCGAGGTTTCCATGTAGCAAAAAGCATTAAGAATACGAAATATATATAGAAGAAGATTATTCTTTAGAACTGGGATTTGAGTCCCAAAATACAATCACTGGGCGTGGTTAGTTACTCTTTAGTTATATTCATAGTATAGCTTGAGTAATAACATATTTTTATATTTATTGTTGATACTGTAACTACAAGTAGAGTAGGGAGGTCATGCTTAGAATCTTGAATAGTGCCGTAAATATCCAAGGTGCTACTAATCACGTAAGGATTAGAATTTCATTTCAAATGGCATTAATGAAAACCACACGAATATTTGTATTGAAGATACAAATTATATTGATTACACTGTCTGTCATATTTTGGCATTAATAGAAAACCCTAATTGGAAAACCAATTTGTTGAGTCCAACTTCTGGTTTAGGATCACGATACTACGTAGCCACGAAGCTTCATCAGAAACTACGATGAGAAGCAGCGTCCATATCCGTGGCCCGGAACGAAGGCGATCACCACCATTGATGTACAAGCACACCACGGCGGCGCAGAGATCGAAACAAAGACACACAATCTTGATAGGTGCGGTTATACTTGGGGGATCTGTGCGGGGACGAACGCTGCCATCGATTGTAGTGGCACTCCAGAAAGAGCTCATCAACTAGGCAAATGGCGCCAGTGTCGACCATCTTCGGCACCAGATCAGTCTCCGCTCCCTCGACGTCCATCTTCACCACAAGGAAATCTTCCTCTCGGACCATGCTTCGAATCCATTCCGACACATCCAGTCCCTGTACCTCCGCGCGATGGTCGCATCTATCCAGCCACGATGACTTCTGGGACACTCTTGGAGAATACTGAATTCGGCCCATTCCTCCCCGATGCCCACACCCGTTTCGATCCATGTCGCTTCCGAAGCTCAAGCTCTCGTTCCTGATCCACGCGGCGTATGCCATGAAGTTCACCTCTGGGTGGTTTGAGTAAGAGTGTCGGAATGTGCTGTCTGCCTCGATTGCGTAGATTGTGAAGTTGTGGCCTTGCTTTGGGTATGCTTTTTGGAACCAGTTGCCTATGCTGGAGCCGTAGTTCCGGGACCCGATGTCGACGTAGATATATCGTCTGTGATGTCTGATGTCAGTGAGTGATGGAAGGTATTTCATGGATCTAAGGCTGCTCTTGGAAGCGATCCAGGGTTTCTTCGGCTCCGACAGAACCAGGGGTTCTGCGAGTTTTAAAACGTCCGCCTTCGACTTAGTTATGAAGCAATTACTCGCAGCTCTTGCATTGTTCCTGCTTTTCTTCCGCATGGCCACTTCGGTGTCCAATCCAAAACCATCAACGCGACGGATGTGGATGACGTCCGAGTTTTTGAACAGGGCAAGAAGGGCATCGACAGAGTGCAGATCGATGACTGAAAACTTGTCTGGTCGGGTGAAAAGTGCAACGTGCAGTACCGCTACACCAGCAGGCTTGAGAGTTCGCTCGATCTCCGAGACAAAGAGTTTCGGAAACAAGGCGTGATCGAAAACATTCGAAAACTCAAAATCAAACGTGCTGTTTGCGAAGGGATGCTTATGAAAGTCTCCACGAAGCACCAGTGGCGGCGCAGGAACGAGGTCGATACCAATGACATCCGCGACCCCGACTTCTTTGAAAGCCACGACTTCCTGTCCCATCCGTGCTCCAATGCACACAACCTTCTGGCCAGGTTTCACCAGACCTTGATCTACATGCCACCGGAAAATGGAAGAGAACACATTGATTTTACGACGCCAGTCGACGGTTTTCCACACCTCACGCAACTTCGCGTTGAGGGTTTTGTTGAGTTGTAGCTGAAGATACTCTTCGTACGAACGGAAACGATGGCGGGCTCGGAGCCCATCGGACCCTGAAAAGAAGTCAGTGAGTGAGTGCAAATTGTCGCCAGGGTTATGTGCTAAACTGGTCCAGGACATCGATGTACTCTGGTAAAACAAATGGAATGGAAAGACGAGGAAGAGAGATGTCAAGAGAAGAGCAAAAACAAGAGCAAAACTCAGACGACGACGACCCACAGATGGACGAATCATGGTGACTCGAAAGTGCAAAAGTAGCTGTGATCGAAAGAGAGTGATGAGTGCTGACAACTATAGTCCGAGGACAACAAGTCCCCATTGTAACCGAAATTAAAAATTAGGGCTCATTGTCGTTGCATTACAAAGCTGTTTTCTTTACACACGTAGCTGGTGACATGGCTCAACCGCTAATCTTTTATTTTCAATTATCAAACCTCACAATTACTAGTCCACTCTTGGTCTTTGCCAGTGGTGTAACAGGAGAGATGATGAATTAGGTCATGGCCATTCACTTGTTGGCTGTACAATATCACTGTGAATGGATATTCATTTGCAGGTTGAGTGTGGGGATTTATTCACATAGAGAAAGTGATTGATTTAGGAATAGATATAGAGAGATTGAAAAAGGTTTATGATGTGCCTCCGCAAAAGCACTAAATGAGTCTGTTTCGATTCTACAAAATAAGTGTTATAAATAAATATGTGTTTTTAAACATATGTTGTATTGTGATACAAATTTTACATTTTTTTTTGTTGTTTTGTTGTTTTGTTCTTTTTTAGATTTGATTTGTTAAGTGTTATATCTAAGAAATTTTAATTTATAAATTAGATTCTAAAGAAACTAAATACACCAAATCAATATTCATCTTAATAAAGAATTTGGACAAGTTAAGATATTTTTATGATCATGGAATTCAAAAATTAATAATCTAAAGATGATAAATTTCATTTAAGAAAAGATAACAACTAAAGTGACTTTGACAATAAAAATGACATATAATATAAAATATAAAAAATAAAATAAAACTTCTACAAATCACCAAACTATTGTCAAAGACAAAAACTCAAAGAAAATATGTAAAAAAGTGAGAGATGAATTCTAAGAGAGATGAAAAACTAGAAATAAGAAAGAAAATATATTTAATAAGAAACTGAAATAGCTATTGGCAAAGACTAGAAAATTAGAGATTCTTGAAATTAGACTAGAAGCAAAAAAAGAATTGAGAAGAGTGAAGAAGACTTCACTCTCACCTCTATATATACTATCTACCTAAGAGTTACAAGGCAAAGTTCTATAAAACCTCCAACACATGTCTAATTTGTAAGACATATGTCTTAACTTACAAGGCAAGTTTTCTATAAGTGTGCCATATTATTAGCATGTATGATAAGTTATAAATACATATGATACGTGGCTAACTTGTTGGTCAAATTTCTAATCTATTAATCACTTATAGATATATATAAAGATGAAAGCATGTCTATGAAACTTTACTACCAGATATTTTTAAATTAACCTACTTTTATCTACTTATTGCAAGGAAAATTAGTCTTAATATTATAACAAACTAACCATACCTTGTTACCAATGTAGAATTGAGGTTACTCCTTACAATAGACATCTATGTTGGTCTTTTGTTATTCTTGAGCATTTTTTAAATGTGCCTTTATTATTATATGTAGCTTAAATAAATAATATGCTAAATTTTTTGCTACAAGATAATTAACATTTGAAAAGTTAAAAACATCAAATTTTAGATGATAACTATAATTAGTAAATAAAGATTTTTATTGAATAAAAGAATATACCATATTATTTTAAGCAAACTCTATTAATTGTAAAAGAGTTGTCCAATTGAATTTTGGTAGTTGATGGTATATCTTAAATATTACTCAAAAATTTAATTTATGTGCTTCATTCGTCTATCAATTTGAGGATAAAAAACCAAGTAAAATTTTATATTTATTTTCAGAATCTTAAAAAAGATTCTCATAAAATCTTAATAAAAATTAAATTTTCTATCTAATATAATATCCTTGGTAATCCATGATAGCAATAGATGTTGTCAAGAAAAAGCTTACCTATTTCTTCACTTCTAATAGATTTTGAATATGGTACAAAATGTACCATCTTGATAAATCAATCTATTATCATAAATATAGAATCATGCAAACTTGAGACTAAAAGATCTATAATAGAATCCATAGAAACAAAGACAATAGTTGCTCTTAAATAGATAATGATTGAAAAAGTCTATAAAATCAATGTTAAGGAATTTCGGATATTGAAAAAATATCACATGATTGTACAAATTTTTAATTGCCTTCTACATTTGAAGCCATCAAAAATCTCTCAATATTAGCTTTAAAGTCTTAGTGTATCCAAAATATTTGATTGCTAGAAAATTCTAACAAGTTTGGAGAATACATAATCATGCTTTGCCTTCTAGAATATATAATCATTCCTCAAAATAGAATAGATTATTCTTGAACTTTAATCTAGAAGAATCGTGAGACTTAAAAGAATTATTTTTTAATATCATGAATAAGATAATCAAAAGATATACTCAATTGAACTTGCTTGAAAAAAATTGAATCAACAGTCACTATTGCTTTGATTGCTCAAAGAAGAAAATGCTTTGGCTTCAAGAGAATCATGCTTTATTGATCAAAATTTATATTTTTTTCTTTTGATACAAGATAAAAATAGCTAAAAAAGATGTCTAATAAACCTTCTTATTCATTGGATTAATAAGTAAATTTGAAATTAAGTTTTGATAAGAATATGCTCCAATAGGCTTGGACATAATTCAAAATATCTATAGAGATGAAATACTTAAGGTTCTTGTAATCCGTATACTCAATGGCTAGACTCAAGGTATCTTTTAGATAATGATTTTATTTTTAAAATGAATCCATGTTTACAAGAAGCTCTTTATTATAGATCTTGTAGTTAATCTTGATTATTGAATATTTCTTAAAATATAAAGTTAATAGGTGGAGCTTGTCATTTGTTTCCATTTGTGACAAAATTACATGCATAACAAAGTCTGATGTATGTGTTTCTACAAAGAATACCTTGAAGAAGTCAATGCTATACAAGATTGATATAAAAATAAATGTTGTTTTTAAGGCTTCAAAACATGCTTCAATATCTTTGTTCTACTTAAGTTTGTCTTCATATGTCAGATATGTAAGAAGAGCCATAACTTAAAAAAAATTCTTGATGAATATTTGATAATAGTTGATAAATCTCAAAAAATATTATATATCTCTAATTTATTTTTACATCTTTCAATCCTTGATAGTTTAGAGCTTTTTAAGTTCTATCATAAAACCATCATTTGAAAGGATGTATCCTAAGAAGTCAACTTGAGAAATATAAAATATATACTATTTCATCTTGACCTATAATATTACATCTTTTAGTTTTTGTAATATATAACAAATATGAACTTCATACTCTTTTATATTCTTTAAGTAAATTAAGATATTGTCTAAATAATACATGACAAAATCATCAAGAAACTCACAAAAGATACCATATATTAGATGTTGAAAATTAGCTAATACATTTGTGAGTCTAAAAGGCATGACATTACATTCAAAATATCTATACATCGTTTGAAACATAGTTTTTTATTCATCTCTTTCTTTAATGCATATTAAGTTGTATACTCCTTGTAGATCTATTTTGGTATAGATCTTCACTTGATTTAATTGATCAAGAAGTCTTAAAATTAAAAGTAGAAGATACCTATTCTTGATGGTGATCTTATTGAGTCTTTGATAGTCCACACACATTTGCAAAAATCTGTCTTTTTTCTTTACAAATAAGATAGAAATCCTTATTAGAGATTTATAATAGCACATGAAATTCTAAGCCAAACTTTCATTAATGTATTCCTTGAATATAGTTAATTTTTTTTGTAATAGGCTATAGATTGGTCTAAATGGTGATTGAGCTCTTTCTTAAAGATTGATGGAATAAATATAGAAACAATGTTTTAAAAGAATATTTGCATTTTTTTTTTCAAAAATGTCTTAATATTTGCTTAAAATACCACTTGAAGTCTTTTTTTCATTGAAAAAAGGAGTAGCATATATAATAAAAGTTATTCTATTTTTGCATCATATATGAAAGCTTTTGTATTTATCTATAATAATTTGAATATATTGATTTTATGGATTTTTTCTTGTCTAGGAGAATCTTAGACTGAAATATAAAAAAATTAAGGTTATAAGAAATCTAATCTATTTGATAGTTATATTTTTTTAGCCTCAATAATTTTAAAATAATTAAATTAAAAAGAGATCTAATTACATTAAATATTATTAATTTGTTATGACCACTAGTTACTACATCCAAAAAAAAAGGTTTTATATTTAACATCTACAAAAGGCAATAAATGATCATCTATTATTTTTACAGGCACAAATTTGGTTTTTTTAACTAAGGACATTTCTTATTTTTTGGCAAAGTCTTTGTCTATAAAAAATATTGAAGTTCCTAAATCTAATAAGGCTTAGACTTTATAATTTTTTTTATCCTCAAAAAATTTCTATTATGAAACAAAATAAAATATTTGAAAAGAATATAAGACTATTGTTAGTTGTTATGCAAGATTTTAGCCGTACAATTCTTAATGTAGTTGGAAAAATTTGTTTTTCAACACATCACCCTCTTTGGAAATCATGCTTATCATTTTGTGATTGCATTACTTTGGATAATATTAGGCAGTGTACTTTGATTCTCTACAATATAGGCACAAACCTTCTTAATGACAATAAGTCTTTTCTTACTTAGTAAGAAATTTAAAACATATTCTATCAATTTATATAGGCTCTAATAAACTTGATCTCTATTATTTTTTTTCAATTACTTTTTTTAAATATAGCCATAAAAATTTCCAAGTATGAATTCAAATCATAGAGTAGTCATGAATCTTTTTTTTTATCAAAGATACAAACCAAGAAAGAATACTTTCAAAGTAAAATATTTATATGAATCCAACTTGAGTAAATCCATGAAGATATTGAAAAAGATGCAACCTTAGATAGGGCTTTATTTGTTGTAAAAACCCTCAAAACTTAGATCTTGTTTTATCAAACTTCTTTGGCATACTAATCCTTGCATCTTTTGTGCTTGTAAAAGTGAGGCTTTTTTAATTTGGTTGTGAGGTGAATCTACTTGCTTCCTTCAATTGCTTTTTGATATAGACTTTGGACTTCTTCCATAGGTATAAGAATATTCTTTCTATAGTTGATACTTGTAATAGATGAAATTTCTATTCTAACAATATTGACAAGCTTGTAAAGATTTGCAATAGTTGCAAACTTATTCTTATTTTTTTCAAATATATCATTTATGATTTTTTTTTTATTTCAAAAAATTTAATAAATCTACAAGTCAAATTAGAGGAACGAAATTTGCAACTTCTAATGCCAAATAATAATTTCTATAAAGAAGGGTGATTTACTTTCTTTAAAGAAAAAATCAATGTTGGAAAACTAAATTGTATGCTTAAAGGTAGATAATCTACAACCTTTAAAACACAACAATAGAAATAAAATGATCCATTCACTTCTAAAACAAGACAAAAATAATGAATTAACACTCTTATCAAACTATCAAGGACATAAATTTCAGAGAAGTAAAAGATCAATATACTCTTGTGTCACTCAAAAAAATTAGATAA